TTAAGCATATTGAGTGTTTTGTTCCAGTGACTAATACATTCAGGGAGCATCACAGAGTATGGGCACAGGGGGCAGGTCTGGCTTGTGGTTTACAGAGGCACATTTCTTGGTTCACCTGAAGCTGGGGAGAATCACATGCGATAAGATAAAATGATCATTGCTTGTCTCACAGACCTGAAACTCAAAGTTACTGGGCTGGCTGACCCCATTCCTGACTGTGCCCCTTGGTTTCTGCCTGGATCCCAGGTCAGACCAGCTCTCACTTAGGGTCCTCCAAGTCCTCCCAGGCCCCTCCCGCTCCTGCTTTTGCATTGGGAACCCCATGCTCACCCATGAGCTATCACCCAGCCATCTAACCTGCAGGAAAGATGGCAAGAATAGTAAGTTAATCAAAGAAAGCAGGGTCAAGTTCTTGCACAATGGCTTTTGGTCCTGAGAGTTTTTCTTGGGTCCTTGATGAGGGGCTTCTGCTCACAATATGCACATAATCTGCATCCTCGAGATCTTGGGTTCCACAGCTACCTGGATCTAAGTATTAAGGTCTCGTACTTGATGTCAGTGCTCCTGTGTCTCTGAGACTGACCCTGCCCTCCCCACCCTCCTGCTCTGCACTGGACTGAGCCACACCATGAATTCCCTGGCTCCCTGGCTGGGGACAGCAAATTGTGGGGCTTCACAAAGTTTTCAGGGTTCATAGCTTTTATAAGTCCTCATACCTAAACACATATATGACAAGATGCATAAGTATATGTGCATATACGGCTCAGTGCAGTTTTTCTGGAAAACTGTGACACCCAATATAAACAATTATATTTTAGTTTTTGGTTTCGGGGATTGAACTCGGGTCCTTGCACTTTCGAGGCAAGAGGCAGAACCACTGAGCTAAATCCCTGGCCCGTATAAACAATTATAGACATAAAAGTGGATTTAAATGTTTCCCTGTTTTCAAATGCTAATAGTCTGGGAAGATAAAGATGCTATGTAGCAGCTACATGTGTGATGGTGCTGGATTCTCCTTGGTCTGTTTTCCCACCAGGCTGTGGGTAATGTGCAGTCAGATGACCCCCGTGTGATGGAGCAGGGTCTCCTCGTCATCTGGCTTAGCATTCGTGGAGACTCAGGTTTTACTTCTCTGACCAGTGCACACTGGTGAGATGATTTCTCATCGTTGGTCATGATCATCTAACACTGTCAGAAAGAAAAGTCACATTGTCCATGAGATGCCAGAATCATGCTGGCCAAGGTTTTAAAGAAAATCCATATGAATAGAGAAGAGAAGGGAAGGGTGTAAGATCCAAAGCAAGAGTAAGAAATTCAGAGAGAACAATCATCAGCTGTGGAGAGATGAGTCCCGGCCACTGAAGGTGGTGAGCGTAGCAAGCAATGTGCTTAGGAATGACTTTCACCTGTGTACAGACACCAGCCCTAGCCAGCCCTACGTATATATATATGTATGTATATATATATATATATTTTTTTTTTCTTTCATAAATTCAGCCGACACCTCACAGGTCTAAGAAAGACTTGGTGGATGAGGCCCGGGTTTCTCAGCCAAGATGTACAGATGTCCACGAGCCATGACACTGAGAAGCCGGCAACTGTGGTGCTGGCTGTCACTGGCTCCGGGGACAGAAGGAGCTTACCCCAGGCCTCCCACTTCCTGATGGCGCCGAGAAGCTGAGCACTGGGTGTGAAGAGGAGAATGACACAATGAACTGATATCAACAAAACGTGGGCAAGGTGGGAAGGATTTCATCCCTGCTTTCAGATTCAATTCTTAAATGAAAATTTAAGGCCAGAAAATATTTATAGATGCTGAAGAGGTTCTTATCGAAAAATTATGAGAGAGGTCAGTTTGCAAGCCAGTTTTAAGATATGTCTGAGAAACCTGAATCTTAAAATAGAAGAACGTCTTTATTCAGAAGAAAGCTTCAGCCTCAGACACTGGACAGCAGGTACTGGAGAGAGGAAAACATCACTGTGAACCAGCATGGGCCAGCGCTGCCCTGGGCCAGTGAAGGGGAGGCCCCGCATCAGCAGCCTCAGAAACAGACAGGGCCCGCTGAATCTCCTGCTGAGCTGAAAAGTCACAGCTGTGTAATTCTGAGCCAAGAGGGAGCCTTTTCAAGGTGAACAAGGGCCCAGTGAAGTTGTCACCTTGATCAAAAATCCCAGCCCAGTGACAGATACAACTGGCCAAGCTGCTTCCTCACCTGCTCTGGGCTCCTGGGTCCCTGACTGCAGGGGCCACGGCCACGGCAAGGGCCGGGAGACTCACAGAGAGTCCAGTCTGGGCTCTGATGAGCACAGATCTTGAAATAAAACTGGGATCATACAGAAAAAGTAAAAAGAACAAAAAGAGAGAGAAAAGATGTCAGAAAAGAGGTGGAAACAATAGCTGAATTATGGAAGTGGCCTATACGCTCACGGCTTTGAGTTCCAAACCCAGCACACTGGGAAGTCTGTGCAGGTCGGAATCTTACAAGGATGAATCGGCAGACACAGTGCACACGGTGTGCTGAGCCATGGAGAAGTGAGACGCCATGCCTACCCTCCTGCACTGGGCTCCTCTCTCCCACAACGGAAAAGGCAAGAATGATGCTGATTTTCGATTCTCACCCTCTAACGTTAACCGCTCACACAGCTAACTATGCTGTTTTCAGATAGCAGAATTTAAATAACCTTATAGAATTTAGAAGGCCCCAGCCAGAGAACTGATGAAGAATTTTACAGACTTAAAATAACTACAGATTTCACTTTAAAAGACATGTCATCAGATGTTACTGAATCCCGAAACTCTCAACGTTCAGAAAGCAGAGACAGCAAATCCTAATAAACTACTTAGACAAAGTAACTGCTTATAATAGGGGGATGTCTCTATTGAAATAGTCATTCTAATTAACCCTTGGTAGATAGCTGTCATTTGAGGCTATGGAAGGAAATCAGACAAGTCCACTAACACAGACAAAGGAAAACTGAAGAACAGAGCAGAACGCGGTCCCCTTAATCTTTCATGGCCACGAAACAGGCACTGCCCACCGCGGAGGTGGCCTCTCTCTACTGACACCTTGGTTTTACTCTCCCACCCCTGGACCATCAATTCACACAGGTGCTGCCCTGGGAAGGAAAAGTGGCACCCGCCTGTCGCTTCCCTAGCCAAGCAGCCCTCACTAGCTGGCTGCGGAATGTGTGCCACACCCACTGGGGTATCTCCAGGTGGGGCTGCCCTGCAAAGTGGATGGGTTTCCACAAAGAAGGCTCCACAGGAGCTTCAGCTTGCAGGAGGAGGACAGCATTGTTATCCTGCACTGCACATCCCCGCTGAACTGAGAACCCCTGATTTTCCACCAAAATGGGGAACAAACGACACATTCACTGACTCTCAAGGAAAGCAATTAGGAAGTGCATTTTAGGCTGATTTCTTCCAGCAAGCCTCAGTGGGAGCGTTATTCCCTGGGGTAGTGAGGCAGTTTGCAGCCCTAGAAATAGCAGTGGAGTCAGTGCAGAGAGGAAGGCTGTCCCCAGGCCACTCCCTAGGGATGCTCCCCGGATTCATAAATGAAAATGTGCCACATAAGAGTTCTGAGACTCATGATATCCTCACACAAATGTAAAGCCTTGGATTCAATTATTATTCCAATCAGATTCTAATCACTGAATGGTCCTCAGTGGGGAGAGAAAACCGAGCACATTCAATGCAAAGCATGGTGGTGGCTGTAGATCAAGGGAAAGGGGGAAAATAATGGTTAGAAGTGACCTTTGCATATGGCTCACAGAGAAGCCCTGCTGTATAGTTTTGCTCTACTTTTTCCTGGAAGCACAGAAAGGAGGGCTCATCAGGCCTCCTGCCTGTGTCAGAAGCCCCACTAATTCTCTTGTGGCCAGGAGGGTTACTTGCTGTCCTCTCTGCATTGAGGAGTCATATTTCTCCACAGAAAGCTTTCAATATGTGAATCATTAGCTTCACTGGTGCCAGGATTTAAATATTTCATGCTCAGTGTATAACGGCAGGAACTAAGGTACATCCGGTGCTAACTTTTCAGATCATTATGGCTTTTGTTAACCTTTCAGTTTTCCTTTATTTTCTTCATTCACTTATGTCAGCTGTTAAGACTACGTGGATTCATTTTGTTTTTTATTTTTTCACTTACAGGTTCTTGGATTATGCAAGTTTGTCTTTGTGTACTATTCTCTTTTAATTAAATACAGTACAATTGGAAGTTTTAATTATAAAACCTGGAATGTACCTAGCTGACATCCATTTGTCCTCTTGGAGACTTGTCTGTTTTATAAGATATAATTTCCTTCTTTTCTAAAATTGCACGCATTCAGTCACCACTCTTTACCAGATACTACATTTTGTACTATCTAAGATTATTTATCTATCTAAGATCATTTTATCTATCTAAGATCATTTCAGTGGAAATGCCTTTATTAAATAAGAGATGGCCTTAAAACTTTTATGGCATTAAGATAACAAAGCCAAGTCTTGTCACCTGATAACCTTTTTAACTTCTTCCTTACCATTCTCACTGAGACTTTTATAAAATTCACATTTTCTGGGTGCATTTAAGTCTATAACTGAAAGGTAAATTTCTTTCTTGTTTCCTGAGTAAGACTAGTTAGACACAAAAATCTCACTCTGTGTCACTGTACTTTCCATGCACAATTCTATTTCTCATCACCAACATATGCAGTAATTATAGCAAATTACGTTTGTGTAATCTCAAATCACAAGCCCATCCTTAAGATAATCTTAAATTAAATGATGGTGGAGAGCTATGCACCAGGTGGCTTTACTTCTTCAAGGCCACACCGACACAGATGAAGGGGAGACGGCAGCTGGGTTAACTGGTGCCACTCAGAGCCACTGTACCCACGCCGCCCACGGGCAATGTCTCAACTACTCTCCCAGAAAGGCCCAGGGTGGCTCCTTGGGTGCCCACAAGCCCCTTGCAGGGCCTTGCCAACGCCCTCACGTGGGGTGAGAAGGCACGTACCCCCTCCGCAGGAGACAGAGCACTCGGAGCGCATGGTGACCCATGTGTAGCGAGGCTGCACTGGAGGCTTCTTCTCAGCACTGGACTGAGGCAGTGAGAATTCCCAGGCCACACCTGGGTTCCTTCCCTGGAACAGAAGCTGTGAAAGAAGAAAGGGGAAAAACAAAGCGAATGCAAGTGAAATCCATCACCACACAGCAATTACAGCAGTCTGCAGAGTGACTTAGTGCATCAATAGCTTCAAGAAGAAGCTGGTGAGGGTGATAACACAGCATCCTCCAAAACATACATGACTTTCTATGCAGGATAACAGTCCCATTGGACTCCTGAGCACCTAGGGAGATGCCTGAACTCACACTTGGGATTTCCTCTGTACATCTTCAATGCTGTGCAACCACATGAAGGCACGAGAGGCCTCCCTAGGTGTTTCTGCGAGATCCCGGCACAAGCTCACATCTGAGTGAGTCAGAAAGTGACGTCTCAAAAGCAGTATCTCACTTTTCACCAGTTCTAAATAATCAGAGGGCCTAAGGGGACATCACGCATGCTTAGTCCCGATGTCCAGTCAGAGCTCTCCCTGATGTGCTCAGGCACGGGGACCTTTATGCCCGGCAAGGACCCTTTAATCCAGGGGAAAGACATTGGATTAGCAAAGGTCCCTCAGGCTGAGGTCCCTGTGGGTGGGGACTCAGTGCCTGGAACCGGACTTGGACCCTACCCTTCCTAACTTGAAACCCAGCCTTCTGGACCAGTTGCTGTGAAAATATGCCAGACCCTTGGATCTCGGTGGGAGCATATCCTATTCTGGAAACCTCACCAATAAGGTGTTCATGCAAATCCCACACCTCTGCTACCCTGGATAGGATGTTCCCTGGATGAACACTCTTGCCCCTGCTTTCCTGCCCTGGCTACGTCATCTCTCCTGAATGACACAGCTCAGGCCTCAGCTGGAGCAGAGGTCAAGGGATAGGCACAGCCTGGGCAATGAGACATTCTCCAGGCTTCTCTTTCCTTGGGAGCAGCTTCCTCAGAAGCCCCACTCATGTTCAACCCTCACCAGGCTCTCTTTCTCTGTTATTCAAACTAAGAGCTTTAGAAGGTGGGGGAGAGGTGATCAAGAAAGGAGTGCAGCAGTAGTTTTATGCTGGGTTTCAGGGACAGCCCAGGTCAGGAGGGAAGGGCAGAGGTAGACGTGTGGCACTGTGGCTATGCTGGGCCACTCGGGAAGCATCTCCCAGAAGATCAGAGGTGGGGTGGGCCGCCAGTTCCAGAAGTGTGTGGGGGCACCTGGGCAGCTGTCACCTCTACAGCAAGGTGTAGGGTGATGGGCAACCTTTGAAACAACAACTCTTCCTGAATTGTGCACAGAAATAGGAAAAGGCAAGGGTTGAGCGTATCCTCACCCTGCCATGGTAGCCCGTCCACCTCTTGGGGTGAGTCAGGTAAGAGGAAGCCCAAATGCACTTTGTGAGCCTGTGTTTTCATGTGTGGAGAGCAGAAGGGCTTGGGTTGGGACCCGGCCACAGGGCACTGGGACCAAAGGGACTGCATGGCCATAACCAGCAAGGGATCAATGCTGTGACACTGGCAAGTCCTCATACAGCACAGGTGTCGCTTCTGGGTGTCCATTCCGGGGCTGTTGTTATGGGACATGGCAGTACAGTGCTGGTCCCTCCAAAAATATAGGCAGGGACAAGGGCCCCGAGAGTGGCTCTTCTTACAGCCACTGAACTTGCAGGCAAGGAAAACAGTGAATGTACACTGTTTAAGACCCAAGATGGGGACACAGGTAAGTCCCTAAACTCAACCACACACCATGAAAAACAAGATGATAGAAACTAGTCTATTGCCTACTTCAGCTCACAGGTGGACTACTCTTATTTTTGGTAACTCTATATACTTTTCTGCATGCTTGCAATTAGGCCAAGAGGCACAAACCCACAAAACACTGAAGACCACCAAACCCAAGCCCCAAACCAAGAAGCTGAGCCCTACCTCCACGATGAGTGTTTCGTTGGTTGGTCCAGCAGAGGTTAAGCTCTCTGGCTCCTTATATGACCGTCTGTAGTCAAAGGCAGTGCCTGAAAACTTGTATCGTCCTGGCCAGTCCACGATCCAGTGTCCATTCAGGTAGTACCTTTTGAGGACACTGCGCACAGAAATGTAAGAGGTAGATACGTTCATCTCATAGATGTGAATGCTCCGGGCTCCAGGAGGAATGGTGATCATGTGATAATACTCTGGATAAAAGAAATGGAAGAAATATGGAATTTCATTTAACTGAGCTTCTCCATAACCAAAGCTTAGTAATTCATGTTTGGAAGAGGTGGTAGATCTATTTGGGCAATCAGTTATGTTCAATCAAATATGACTTATTTTTATCAACTAGAGCAGAGCTCTGATGATTTCCACTTTCTAATAAGCCAACAACCACTTCCGGTCCAAACCAAAGACTAGAGAACCAAGGGGTTCCTGCAGCAGAAAAGAGACAGGGATGGTCTACACTGTCTGAGTAGCTGACGTTTACCCTCTCCTCCAGCTCCTCCCCCTGAGAAGCTGGAGATCAAACCATCCCAGCCTGAGCCCTGCAGACAGCTCTGAAATACTCACGGTTGGTGTGGTGGTGCTTACTGTAGACACCCCTGTGAGTCATGCAGTTTGAGTTATTTCCCTTGCACACCCCGCAGGAGTCCTCAGCAGCATCAGATCCAAGGATATTGTCACAGCCAACTCTCTGGAGGACCCATGAGGTCACAAGTCATTCATGAAAGAAAGGACAACACAGGAAATAATGTGACTAATCTCATGCAGGAGGCCTCCTCCCCACTATCACTGAAAATTTCCCCAACGTGGGGTAATGAACAAATATTTATTGGATACCCAATATGTGCACAGCGAGACTATCATTATACTCTTCACAAAACTTTAAATATGAAACACAGCCTGCGCTGTACAATGCTGCTGTCCAACTGCAATATCTGGAGGCATAAATTAAACCCATGGGTTGCCATGTTGGAGATGTTGGTAAATTTCACACTGACATAAGCAGTGTGGTACAGTGGCAAGCACTGTATCCACACAGGGTCCGCTGATGTGTCACTGTGCTCTAGCTGCCTGGGGCAATGGTACAGAAGTGGAGACTCTTCCTAAATCAGAAGAGGCAATGTGATTGCACTCAGGGAGCTCTTTATAATTTCTGTGATCCTTGTTTATATATTCTCTACTAAACAGAATAGGCTCTATATTTAATAAAAAGGAAAAATCCATTCAGAAACAAAATAACCAGCCTACAGTCCTTTCCTCGAAATTCTTGGGACCAGATAAAGATGTATGACTTTTAGAAAGGTAAAAGAGTCATGCACATCTGGTGGGTATGAGAATCCCAAGAGGACCCTGGCCACACCGTAATTAGCAAGTTCATGTTTCTAGAGCAAAATGTGTACATATTTATGCCGAGTGGGATAAAGAAAACCCACTGATAGTCACACATCAGTTTGGGGCACATTTTGGCACTGAGCAAGTTCAGGTCCCAAAACTCTTTCATAGAGTTTTGGATTCTTTTTCTTCAGCCTTTGGATTTCAGAGTTATAAATAAGGGACTGTGTCACTGTAGGTATCTGACATTTAAGTGTTTGTAGTGGGCATCCAAAATAATAAGATATTTAACGAATCCACAGATAATCAGGGAACTGTGAGTATTTTGAAGCAGGAAAAGGTCTTATGGACCATCTCATGTGACCTCTGTGCATCTATCAAGGTCATGCTAGGGACCTGGTGGATAGCACAGGGTCACAAGGTCACACAGAGGAACCCAGAACTGGACCTGAGCTTTGGACTTTGCAGGACATGAGCATTGCCAACCCACTTCTGCATGGAGAAACTAGCTGTTCCCTGCAGTGTGTCTGATCTGGTGGCAGCTTTACTTTGTTTACCACAGAATTCTCTCCACCCCTTGTCCTCATGAAGGGTGACAAGCTCCTCATTGCTCCCCTGGCCACCAATGCTTGCCGTCTTTCTCCCACATGCTCACCTCCTGCCCCACCCTCCCTTGTGGCACGCTGAGCTGAGCTATTGAGGAAGCCACTGTATGGTGACTGCTGCAAAGAGGTTCCCAGGCTTCCTGCTGTCCATGCCTCTACTGAATGCCCAGAAAGTGCACCCTAATCCTGTGGCTCCACTGTCCCTAACCACATCCCTGCTCTCCATGGGCACAAGGACAGGAGTCTCAACTCTTCCTCTGGCAGTGGTGGCAGTGGCAGGACCTCAGTTATCCCTCCCCAGTCCTGCCCACTTTCCATTTTTGCTGTGACGGAATCAGCTCCTACCAGCCCAGGCTTTCAGGTACCATGCTGCCCTCTCTACTTCCCCGGCACCCCTCTTTCAAGCCAGCCTCACAAATCTAGCTCAGATGTGCATGCTTCTTGCTCCCAGGTGCCCTCAAATGTCCCAGATCCACAGCAGTAGCTCTGGCCCACACATTGCAATAAGGCAGTGCCACCAGTGTGTGTGCTTTGAGCTTCTCCCCCTCTGCCTGTGACTGCAGGGAAGGGCTCCTCTTATGTATCAGGTCTTTCTAGCCCTACAGGGTGCCTGGCGCAAAGGAGACCATCCGGAGACATTTGTTGAATGAAGAAGTGATCATTATTACCTCACATATCCCATCTATACAAACATTACGGCTATCCTCCGAGCATGGAGTCCCATCTTTCACTTTATTTGACAAAGAAAAGAAGAAATCATATCCTTCTGCGATACAGTAGAGTTTGCATAAGTCCTGATCTTAAAAAGAAATACACACACAAACACAAATAAGAAAGATACTTAAGCTCAGACCATTTTTGCTCTGAATTTTAGATAGATTTTCTATTTTCCCCATAAAATAATTCCCACAAAATAAAACACTGCAAAGACATTTTTCAGTGGTTTCCTCCTTACATTTGTTTTTATTATTTCTTAATGCTTTGCTCTTAATTTTTACTCTTGTGTTCCTTACTGATCTTTGTCCATTACATAATGGTTGGCACATAGTAGGCATTCAATAAATATTTGTTGGCTTCCTTACAACATTAATGCTTTACTACATTTCAGTGCTCTTTTGTACAAAAGCAAAAGGACATTGTAGTTTTGTATCAATATGCAAAATTCTTACAAATAGAATGTAATAAAAGAATCAACATCATCACTAAATTTCTTCATGCAGTTGATGAAATACATGCAATTTTTAAACAACTGATAAAGAAATGACTTTTAGACAAAATCACTCATATTATGCCCCTGCTCTCTGCTTGGCCTGGGGACTTCTGACCATGCACTGGTCAAGGGAAGACAAGATGCCAGGGCAGTGTAGCAGGGCCAGATCAAACTCACTCCCAAAGCAGTGTGTGACAGTGACCACCCAGAGCTAGGACAACTGGTCTACCTGAACATTGCATTACCCATCACAATTCTTTAATAAGCAAAGACGGCAGACTGCAGGGTAGCACTAGGAAGCAGGGCAGGAGATTTACCTTCCACCTGTGTGTACGGTTTCCACTTGTAGTGCCACCCGCGGAACCTCTTGCTGTTGTACTCAGCACACTGGGCAGCGCGGAAGTCCACACTGTCCTGGGGACACTTCTGGCTGTTGCAAAGTTTCAGGGTACGCGTGGAGCCCTCACAGAACTTCCCTCCGTGGGATGGTCTGAAATGTAGGTTTTGTAGTTAGCAACCTCAGAGTTCAGTGCTACTGTGTTCCTCCTGGGGACTGACATGTACAGGGGAGATGGGGCAGGGGCTTCAATTTACTAAACGGGGGCAGTTAAGGAAGTGCCCTTGGAAGTGGGTGTGGTGTCACATATCTGTTATCTCAGAATTTGGGAGGCTGAGGCAGGAGGATCATGAGTCTGAGGCCAGCCTGAGCTATATAGTGAGCTCAAGGCCACCTTAAACTATATATAGAGAGACTTGTCTCAAAATAAACAAACAAAACAAAACAAAAAGCACAACAAAAAACAGAATGCATACTTGGCAGGAGGGACTGAGACTTCCCCATGTGAACATGACACAATTTCTCTGCATTGCCAGCCTTCCTGTGACAAGGCCAGGACATCAGGACTAAGTTAAACAGTACCTGGAGCCACCCTGGGTGAGGGCACCTGGTGGACAGGTGGAGCCAGGCAGCTGTGTGGGGAGCACCAGGAAGGACTCTTAGGTTTCAGCCCGGGGGCATGAGAAGCCCCACCTCTGGCCCTGTGGGTGACTGTCTGGCACCACCTTGTCCTCTGACTGAAGCCCAATGGAAAACTGAATGTACTGCATGAAAAACTGAAACTTTTGGTTTTGTTTTTCCATGAAAGGATTGATCTCACTGATTTCTGTGCACCTGTGTTCTATACCCTCTTCTAGTGAGCTGGCAGACCCTTAGTATTTCAAATACGTACAGTTAAAATCCACTTCCTGAATATCACTAAATATGGGTTGGTTATTTTTTGCAGGGGTCAGGAAGTTATACACGGTGTGATCAAAATATACGGTGCATCTTTAAAGTTTAAGAAAAATGATTACAATTCCTCTAAAAATCCTCTCCCTCACTTCCAACACACTCATCCCATCATCCTTGCCACTTTCTGAAGCAATTCTGGAAGTCCTCTTTCAGGAGTGTCTTTCGTTGCACTATTGTGGCTACCTTGATATCTTGAATCAATTAAAAATATTACCCTTTCATGGTCATTTAGACTTTGGGGAGGAGCCAGAGTCACATGGTGCCAGGTCTGGTGAGTCACGTGGATAGGGCCACACGGTCATGTTTTTACCAGTCTGCCTTTTCTTTCTTTGGACGGCACTTGGCATTTGCCATGGTGGTTTGGATCACACCTTGTACATTAAAGAGATCAAAGAAGTGCTGGAATCAAATGCCCTCCTTCTTCATGTTTCACATGGCATGGTGTAAGTGCAGAGCTAATGAGAATGTGGCGAGGACAGGCACAGGTACCTGGGATTGGAGCAGAGGCGGTCCCTGTGCGACACTCCTCCCCCGCAGGTCCTGGAGCAGGCGGACCACGGGGACCAGTCTGACCAGCGGCCATGTGTGGGCTCAGGGCCTTCATCCCCATATTTCACACACTGTCCTCCGCGGCACCACTAAACATGGAAAAATAAACGAAAGTCTGCATGTGCAATGGACAGCAAGTAGGTATCTCACCACGGCTGCAGTGGAGAGCTGCACACCAGGCTCACATTCACACTCACCCTCAAGAGGCACCCGATGGAACTGCCTTTAATGCTGCTTCTTTTGTCTTTCCAAATTCACATAGATGAGGGGTGATCCAAACATATGGTAAACGTTTAAATTTTAAAAATTCATCTTTTACGGTAATAGATTTTAAAAACTCAAACATGCATTATATATTCTGATCACCTCCTAGAGGAGATTAGAAAAGCCACTTCAAACATCTGAGCTCCAGGAACGGAATGTAATTTTTCTCTCCTGAGCTTTGTCACAGGCGAAGGCTCCCAGCAGAGCGAGTCTCAGGTGGGGAATCCAGCTGCAGGCCCAAGCTCAGCGCTTGGCTTTGCTGCCCGGTGCTTGGTGCGTTCTCCCTGGAACAGCTCGGAGCTGGTAAAGGTCATGGAGGGCACAAGCAAGGTGGCAGCAGTTTCCACAGAGATAGGTCAGGCTGTGTGGAACTCTGTCCATCCCCCAGGGCTGCAGTGGGTTCAACTCTCCTTCCTTGGAAGATGCACTCAGTGATTTTCATTCTTGCGGAAATCCACGCGAGTGAGGCCTCGACCTCCCTCACACCAATGCTGGCACCGACTGTGCCTCTGCCTGGGGCACTGGGCCCACTGTGGTGTGACGGCACCTGCCAGGAGCTCAGCAGGCCAGGCTCCTGCTGCGGGACAGATGGAGGATGCCCATCCTGGCTGCCTGAGGTTAGAGCCAGCAGCTCTGTGCTGGAGGGAAAGCTGTTACTTGCATAAGGGGAAAATGGCACTGTTACCATGAAGGATGAGCACCTCCATTAAAACTGGACAAGCCACTGGTGTCTGTCCACTGCTGCCATGCAGAAATGGCAGTTTCAAATGGTTCTGTGCAAGATTATTTAAGGAAGAAAAATTGAACCACGAGACAAGCAGTTTTGAAACCCTCATTAATTTAATTCTTTTATTCCTCTCTATAAGCAAGAATAAAAGCAAGAAGTATAAACAAAAAAAGAAAAAAGAGATAAAAAGGCAAAGAAAAGGGAAAGTGTCCCTTTTCCATCTCCCCCGCCCTCACCACAGGTGACAGACTAAAGTCCCGAGGTCCTCTGAGCTCCATGCTGACCCACACACCTCGGAAGCTAGAGCAGAGCGGGAGTGAGGCTGGGTGCTCACTGTGGACGAGGCCTGGAGGGAGGAGGCAGAAGGCAGGAGCGTGGTGACTGTCATTGTTCTTTGTTTCATTGTGTTACTAGAAATTTGGTTGTGGCTTTCCAACACAGGAGGCAGCCAATAGAAAAGCAAGAGTCCACAAGTTAGATAACTCACCAAACAGTTCCAGGAGAAGCTGTCTTGGTTTGCAGATGCAGAGAAGGCCTGGATTTCCTGAATGGAGATAGGCAGGCAGAAGGCAGCAGGCCTGTCTTGAAAGTAAGTGTGTGCATGGTATTCAGGAAGTGATTTTTAGTCTGTTTTTGCCTGGCATTTGTGGGCAGTCTCACTGTGGGTCATGATGCTGCCATCCATGTGATGTCATAACCTGGCAAAGCTCACACGTGCAAAAAGGACAGTGACATTGTAATAGCGTCACTATTTGTTTTTGCCTTTGTTTTGTGGTGCTGGGAACTGAATTGAGGGCCTCTGCACTAAGCTACAACTCCAGCTCTTTATTCTTTGAGACAGGTTTTGGTAAGTCACTAAGTTGCCTGGGCTGGGGTCAAACTTGCATTCCTTCTGCCTTGTCCTCCCAGAGTGCTGGGATCACAGGAGTGCACCACCACTCTGGGATTTTTAAAAAAACACTTTTTAGTGGGAAATTTCAAAGATGCACACAATAATCTAGGAGCTCCTTGAAACAAGCACCCTACTTCACCAGGTCTCCAAGTGCAATGACATCTCACCCTTCTCTCCCCAACCCTGAATCCCAGACTTTATACCAGTTCTTTAAAACTTCACTGTTCAGCCCCAAAATTAAGGATTTCAAAAAGATAGAGACAATTCATTATCATATCTAGAAATTTACAGTAATTCCACAATATCATGAAATGTCCAGGGTTCAGAATTCCACTTGCCTCACTTGTTTTTCTCATCTGAAATGAGATGTTTGTTGAATTAGCTGATGGCTCTTCAATGTCTCTCAATGTCTACTCTTTCTCTCGATTTTCCCTTTCTTGTCAGTTTACTTGTTTGTCTGGTAGAGTCTCTCACACTCCGGATCTTGCTGGCTGCATCTCCAGGGCATCTCCAAACATGGCTCTGTGTCCCCTGAGTTTCTGCATCAGGCAAACTCAGATCCAGGGTGGGAACAACTTGATACATCTTTAGGTTAAGTTACTACATTTTGATTTAGATAGGAATTACTTTAACAAAATTAAAAGTAACCCAGAATGTTTATGTGAATTTTCAACATATGTAGTTTATCCTTTTATCTACTCATTTCCAGTACTGGAGGTTGAACTCAGGACCTTCACACTGAGCTATAGCTCTAAGACTTGTTTTTGAGACAAAGTCTCCCTGAACTGATAAGTTTCCCAGTCTGGGTTTGAACTTAAATTCCTCCTGCCTCAACCTCCCACTATGCCAGGATTACAGGTGTGTGCTGTCATACCTGGCTTATCACTTTATTTTTTAACATATAAGAAAATGGTTATATAGCTCAGTATTTCCTTTTGTTTGATAAATGACAGCAAAGTACACAAAGATTTTCCCATTCTGCTTTTCCATTTGATGCTATGTTCTGCAGATCTTTTCAAAAAGGCTGTGGATATCTTCCTGCTTCCTTTTTTATAATTGTATAATACTCTACCAAGTGTTTCATTTTTATGAGCCAATTTTTTTCTTGATGGACATTTGTATCATTTTCAGTCCTTTGCTTGGATAATCATAGCTGCAATTAATTTTCTTGGACATGAATCTTTTGCTATTCCTGCCTGAGTTTAACTTTTTTACTTTAAAAATAATTTTAAAAAACTTTCAGAGAATTTGAATCAAAAGCACTCTTATCTTCTCCCAAGGGGGGTTAAGGGATGATACTTAGGTACGTGTCCACACAGGCATGTGCCCATGCACAGATGTATGCACACACACAATTCTGGATGCAGCTTCAGACAGAGCACAGATGTGTGCAGAGTCAGGTTAGGCATAGACCCCTGCACTCAAAAGCAGCAGTTCCCACATCTGTGGCTTTGCTTTTAGCTTCCTTGTCTCTGATAAATGACAGGACCTGCCACAGAACTTTTGCCTTCCTGCTTTTGCATTCGATGCTTGAAGTCTTTGTTTCCTGAGGTCAACCTCAGACTGAGAATATGAAATAGAAAATTATGGAAACAATTCATGAGTTTTAAAAGGCATCATTCTGCACAGCAGGATGAAACTCTGCACCTTCCTGTCTGCTCCTGCTCTCCTGGGGTGAAGCACAGCCTACCTGGACCACTGGCCTCGTTCCTCATGTTCTCACCATTTTGGCTGTGGATATGGATATCCTGGACTGTGAAACAGCATCTTTGTCACCTGAAGGTGCTGTACCACCTTCCATTATCACCGGAAGAAGGCTGAGCACGGGACAGTGATGCACAGCTCTACCTTGGCACCACGAGCTTCAGAATTTGTCCCATCCTGCACGTCACACTTTGACAAGGATAGCTGTCCCAGTGCCAGGTGCCTGCATGGGTCTCAGGGAGCTTGGGAACAGTACACCCCTGATTTCTTGTCACTCTCTGGTGCTCTGTGCATTGTAAGTGATCATCTTGGATCACAGGAAGGTGAGGACACTTCTGAGCACTATGAGACTTCCACTGGCCTAGGAAAAGGCTAAGATGAAGGCTCTGGGGAACTTTCCAAAAGAATTTCTCATTACTTGTTTCTTCCGGAAAACGTGTTGTTCAGTACCCATCAGTCCTTGCAGTCCTCTCGAGTTCTGGAACCAACTGATGATGCGGTCTGAGGGTTGACTGCATCTCAGAGAGGCCACACTCACAGAGCCTTCATTTTGGTGTATTGTGATAGCTGTTCTGCTTCACACCATCACTTGTTGCAGTTAATCTCCTGTAGTGCTGTATCGCAGGGTTGTGTGTGTGCAGGAAAAGTGCAGTCAGGGCTGGCTGTGCTCATGTTTTCAGGCGCCACCTGGCCATCTCAGAAAGGTGTCCACTGTGCACCATGAGATCTCCTTTTGAGGAGAGCCGTGTGGTTTTGGTCACCACTGTCGATTCCATTGAGGGACAGTGTGCTTCATGACAGAGGGCACTTCCTCAGGAGGACATCACGTGGACACATCTGTGTCTGGTGCGATCACTGCTGACAGCTGTCACTCCGTACACAAGCCCAGTGGCACAGGGGAGCACACACACACAAACAGTGGAAACTGACAGGGTCCCCTCAGAGTGCCACCATGAGGATCAAGTTTGGCCCTAAAACATAAACTGAATCTTGCTCAAGTGGCAGCAGCAGCGGGGCAGCAGGGGGCCCTGCAAGGCAAAGGCAGCACTGCGGGGCCCACAGAGACAGGAAGGTTTGCTGACGCCTTTAGGTGGACCAGCTTCCCACATACAAGTGCACAGCGACACATGAAACATACAAGTGCGAAGGGGAGGGTGGTGAGAGAGCTCCTGCGGAGTGTGCGGCCACTTCCAGCCAGGGCTTGGGTCCCCGCCTCCTGACGGACTGCAGTCTTCCAAATGCAAAGGGAAGAATGAGGTCTAAACGGTAAGGGAAAATAATTTCAAGTACTACGGAAAGTCAATGCAATGGTACTTTCAGGTTGAATGAAATGTAACAAGAACCTGTGGAGTGCTCTGTGGGAGCATCACACCGATAGCCCTAAGAAAAAGAAAAGCACTTGAGCAAGAACACGGAGGCCAGGGCAGCCAGGGCTTCCCACCCTCGCTGTGCGGGTAAATGCCCGATGTCCTCCAGCAAGCAGAATCCCACGCTGCCTACCCCATCATACACGTTTTCTCCTTCAAGAAACTGAAAGCATTTTTGTCACCTTTTATAATAGATTAATTGAACTGCAGCTGCCTACATCCCTAGAAGAATCTAATTATCAATCTCACCCCGTGGGCTGGGTGCAGGAAGGGAAGGTCCCCTGGGCCCCTGCACTTCCTCCGGGCGCAGCGGGGGTGCTTCAACCCGAGTTGCACCTTGGCTGTGTTGGTGATGCTGGAAAGGCCTCTGTTTGCAGTTACCTTTACATGTTTAGGATGTGGCATAACTTGACGTTTAAACATGGTAGAACAGACATATATTTATAGATTTGTTTTCATAGTTGTTGTATTGCTACAGAGGCCACAGAGTAAAAATTGAAAATAATTGCAGTGGTATTTTGAGTCTACTACATTTCTATATTCATCAATAATTTTTGCATTCTAACTAGAAATATCAATGTGGTCACTGGTTAAATCAAATGGATTAACAATATTACGCTTACATGATAAGGTAATTTCAAGTGCTCTACCACTAAGCCATATTCCTCAGCCCAGATAATTCTTAAATTGTAATGACAAAGTTGTCACCCTCTACCGGTTGCTAATGAATTTGCTATCGTAGCTGAGCATGGTGGCACACTCCTGTAATCCCAGCACTCCAGGAAGTTGAGGCAAGAGGACTGTAAATTTGAAACCCAACCTGAGTGCTTTAGTGACCCTGTATCAAAATAAAAACTAAAAAAGTACCAGTGATATAGCTTAGTGCAAAGGCCCTGGGTTCAATTCTCAGACTGCAAAGCAAAATAAAACACAAACAACTTTCTATCTTATATGTTTCTTCTCTTCTGCTAACATAGTTCTGCCTCTTTTCACTGGGGCAGCCACAGGTCAAAACTGTCTCCTGCCAGGTCTTCAAGAGGATGCTTGGAGACCCGAGCATCACTAATGCTGGCCTATGTTACTGATCAATTAGGGCTAATGGTTTAATCCGCCTCACACTAAACAGGTGCACTCACCGTCTATTGCCTAACTGTTGTATCTATTAACTCCAGATCGCTCATCAATCACGTTCCCCCAAAAGTGATAGCAAGTACCAATATGAAGCAAAGACTGTGCTTTGACAGGGTGACCAAACAAGTGTGTGCCCAGACCTGTGCAGAATCCCAGGTAAACCCCAGGAGACACAATCACAGGCCCTGAAGGGCTGTCTGGCTGCTGCCCCCAGCAGTGGCTTCTTACCATGTCCTGCCCACACAGGGTGCCCTCTGCTGCTGGCATGAACTTCGTCTCACACTTTCTTCCCATCCGATGGCACCACAGGGCTTTGCAGATGTCCTAATGGGGAAAAAGCTCATCAGTGTTGCAGTGAGCCGTGCACCTACAATAAAATATCATGGAAAGTTCAAGGGAAAGAAACTGACATAAACTGAAAGCGGTAGATGCACATGAGAGATGAGCAACTGGAAGACCTATGTCCTAGACTTACTTCAACTTAATTCATCCTTGAAACTGTACTTATATTTACTCTTCATAAATTTAACATTAATTTTCTAAATTAAAAAATAGAATATGTTTAATCTAAACATTGTGGAAAACTATAAAATTGAGAAAATCCAACTAAACATTTTATACTTTACTGTTTTCAACTTTACCTTCTACTAAACTCTCCAGGTCTGAACCTTAATGTTTAAAGAAAAAATGATTAGGACTTTGTTGGTTCACTCAGCCATCATTCATCTATCCATTCATCCTTCTATCCCTCCCTCTACACATTCGTCTTTCCATTTATTCATCCATCCATCCATCCATCCTTTCATCCATCCATCATCCATCCATCATCCATCCACCATCCCAGAACCTTTGATGAAAACTTAAAACATGCAGACATCTTGTGAAGGAAGGGGTTCCATTATGAGTAGGACCTGCCCTGTAGTCTGGGTGTGGCCTTATGGGCTCCTTAAGGGAACTTGCTGCAAAGCCCTGTAGAGTGTTCACTGATGGAACAAAACAGGGTGCAGGGTGAGCCTGCAAGGGGAGAAAGTGCTTTGCCTGGAGTGTGCAGAAAGGGGTCACGGGAGCAATGAAGCCCAAGGCAGCTCCTGAGCGGGGGTGTTTGTTGGGCTGAAAGGGGGTGATCTCAGCCAGGGCGAAGGATGGTGATTGAGGACTCAAGAATGAAGAGTGTGTGCAGAGGAAGCCCCCAGGGCTGGTCTGGCAGGGACTAAAGCAAGGACTGAGCCTGATAAACTACAAAGGCTCTCAAGGTTGAGGGACCCGTGTTTACTTTCACTGCCACTTAGTGACCTCCAGAAGTCTGCACCTGGGGCCTGATGACCCCTGAGGAATGCTGGCGGTAGCTTTGGTTGGGAATGATGAAAACATTTTCCGAACCATCTGCACAACAGTGGTGAATATTTAATCAATGCTGCACTATTTTCCAAGAAATTTAATGACTGCTGGGTGGTGATGTGTATTATAGAGAAAATGTACTGCAGTGAAGCAACATAGTTCTGCTTCAAAGACGGCACTGCAGTCTCATTCTTGATCTCAGTGGTGTTAAAAGGAAGTCTGCTAGCAAGGTGTGGAAGTACACAGCTGTGACCCCAGCGCTCAGGAGGCTGAGGTAGCAGGATCGTGAGTTTCACGCCAGCCTAAGCTACACAGTGAGCTCCAGGCCAGCCTGAGCTCCATGGCGAGACCCTGACTCAAAAGTATATCTAAATAAATGGGGTCTTTTGTGCAAGTCATCTCCCAAAGGGTTTCATTTTTTACAATCCATCTTAATTTTACCTTCACAAAACCAATTTTTCAATCTCCTCCCAAACCACATTACCCTCTGTACATTTAAAAATTAAGGTATGAACTAAAGACACAGCCTCCTATCTTTCCTGTTTGTGTCTTCCTCACTAATAAACCAGCCTTTGGGAACTTAGAATCTTAACAAGCAAACTTGCAGTGGTTAAACTCTGATATTAATTGCTTTTATTCTGGGCTGTTCATAAACTCTCATATGGCTGCACTCACTGTGCCGTGAAATCTGTTTTTCTGTGCATCTACCACGGGGATTAATGTCCCACGTGGGCACCAGTGCTCTGCTTGGCTCGCATCACAGAGCGATGTCCCGCGCTGCTCTCAAAGGACTGCAGCTGAGGTTTCTGTGCAGCACTCCTCGGTGCACGGATCAGCTGGCTGTTCGGGGACTCAGTTCATGGCCAGAGAGATATTCTGAGATCTAGAAGTGGAATCTATACAAGCAGGAGCCTGGGTGTCTGCAGCTCTCCATGGAGATGCCTGGGCACTGGGCAGCTTGAGAGAATAACAGGGCTCCCTTGGACCTGGAGCTAGTGGGCCAAGGTTCTGTGTCTGGGTGACAATGTGGAGGGCAGGGAGACCAGGGGCCTGGGAGGGGCTGGGGTAGGAATTCTTGCCCTTGAATGGTGGCTCCCAGAGACCTGGGGGTGGGTGTGATGCTGACCTATTGACCCAGGATGCTGGGTGTACATGTATGAGGGATGAATGAATGAAAAAGAGGGCACTTACAGCATGCTGGGTGGCTGGGAGAGGGCCACAGTGGTCCAGTAGAGGGTTTGGGCATCTGAGCTGTGGAGGCAGAACTGGTGTGGATGGGGCAGGGCCGATGGGTCAGGGGAGGTGGGAACCCTGTCTGTCTCTGTAGATGCCTCCACGTCCCGGGGCTGAATGAAGTGGCTACAGGTAACGTGCCCAGCTCAGGCAGGTGCCAGACCACTCCTCTCTCTTCAAGGCTGGAGGAGATTCGGGCTCAGGCACAGGTCTCAGCCTGTGATCCTGCTCCACTCTGGTCGCTGTGACCGTGGGGGGGATGGAGCACAAATTCTCTGGACTCTTTCTGAGACTATGCAGGACAAACAGTGCAAATGGTGCTTCACCAAATTAACTTAGTTTATATACTTTATCATCAGAATCTGCCACCGCAGTTGACACCTAAATGCCTTTCAGACAAACTGAACACATAGTAGTTTCTGAGCGAAGCAGTAACAGAATTGTGATAAAGTTAACGATGATTCATAGACTGCGATCATAAACAGATGTCCAAGAGGACTCAGGAGAGGACCGAAGTGTGGGATTCAGGCTGCCACTCAGAGAAATTCCAGATTAATCTTCACGTTTCAGTTTTCGGGAGCACTATGTAGAATAAAGAAATATGGGTAGAAGATCTACGGGCTGTGGCTTCCAGTTTTTCTAAACCCAAACCTCTCAGGTTAAGGGCTCACCCTGCAGCATGAGGCCCACTAATTTGTCTGTGCCTGGCTCAGGCACCTGTGCTTTCAGCCTTGCCTTGGCACCTGTTCAGTCCTCAATTCCAGTCCTCCAGACTGGAATAAATTTTACAGCCGGAGGAACCTGACACAGCACATGATCCAAGAGAGTGTTTTTCAACACATCAAATAGCACCTGAGACCCTTGACAACCTATGGATATAAACGCCTGCCTTAAGAACACAGCCCTCTGTTCCGGGCCACCCAATACAGACTCTAGTGTCTCAAAAGTTAGATGACAAAATGAAATTAAACATTTAGCTTCTACTAAGGTTCAGTTCACCTCCCGACTTCTGGACATAATGCACAGTGGTGGTATTGAACCATCACAGCTTTATTTCATGGTGTGCTTAGTGAAACTTCAGAGTGTTTCTGGAGCAAGCATCCTATTAAATCGTGATTCTTGAGTCAGGCAGCGGGGAATGTGAGACTCACTGGGTGTGGGTGGAGCTGTCAACTGAACAACAAGACCCGGATAGGAGGAGATCAAATTTCAAAGTCATTTTGGCCACTTACATATCAGACTCCAGGGTCAGGCCACCAAGCAATGTGGCTGGATCACAACTGCACTTAATAAAGACACAATGTTTGTGGTACTTAACGCTTCACTTGATGCAAGGAAGCCAAAACCTACACAGAGCACGTGCTCAGCTTTTGTCTTTGTAGCAGAGGAATGCTATCTTAAGTGAAAGCTCTCAACCAGGAGTGTACACCATACTTCAAGGGTTTTGCTTCAGAGACCAATTTCAGTAAAACTGATTTAGTTAGGCTGAACATACAAACCTGACCTCAAATGAAACCAACACCCCAATGACCCTGTCAGAAATACACCGGGGCGCTTCATCTTTGGGAAGAGTGTGCCACCAGCCTCACCTCTGTCTGTCTGCACTGGTCCCTCCAGAAGTGTGAACTATGAAGGTAGTTGCGAATGATGTTACAGTAGGATATGCAATGAATTGTAACTGTCTATGTTTCACCCAATATGATGCTTTGATCAATATACATCAGTGGACAAAGAAAGCTGTTGTCAAGAATTCATACTCAAGAATGTAAGCACACATGCACATATACCAAAGATACGTTCATTTATGCAAAAGAAGGACTCACATGCATTTGTATTATGTGTTGTATCATAAGGTATTTAAGGGAGAGTGATTCCTTACTATAATATCATACATCCATCTCCACCCAGGCCAGCAAAGTTCTACCAAGCTGCTTTAATGCACCAGAAACTATGCCAGACATTGCATAATTTGCTGGTTATTTATCATTTTATATTCTCTCTTTGGAAAACTTTCTGATCATTACCGTTCATCGCTACAAAATATACACCTTTTAAAGTAATTTCAGCAGGAGTTAATTTCAATAATTAAGTTTTAAAAAAATTCATAGTGTTCTGAGATATCTCAATCTACCTGAAAAATGAATCTCCACCTGCCACATTGTGTCTGATTTTGGGATTTGTTATATTGGAGATTCTGGCCATAGAAATAGAAATTAATATAGAAAAAGAAAATACATAGTGTAGGGAAAGGGGACAGATAGACAGGCAGGAAAATTATAGGGTAAAGCCTCCGTAAGCTTTTTGGCTAATCCTGACTAAAAGGTGTCAAAGTTTCACTGGAGAAAGCAATTTATAAGAGAAGAAAAAAGCTGATAAACCAAGCAGGCACCCTAATTCAAATTCAGTGGTCAGGTTCAATATTGACCTGATAGGGAAATTTAATTCAGTTCTTGTCCAATTCAGTTCGCAACCAGGATCATTGAAAGAATTAAGTTCATGAACCAAGGTACCATTGTACTTATAATATCCAATCCACTGTAAATGCTAAAGAAATGGTTGTCATACTATATTGCCTAATGAATAATAAAGAAAAAAATTGGGTTCATGATCAGTACCAAGGCAACTTTCCCCAAATATTTTCTATCCACAGGTGGTTGAGTCTATGGATGTCAAACTGCAGATACAAAGGGCTGAGAGTCTATTTCAAAAGGTGTTTTCCCTACTGAGCACGGTAAGTACCTGCTAACAAACTTTGAAAATATAAACAAAAATCTTTCCCAATCTACAAAGCAGTATGGAAATATTATGTGCCCGACGATGTCAGGCCTTTGACACGGGCAGCACCGCAAGGGAGGCAACACCCTGGAAGGGAAGACACGGGCTGGGTGCCCCTACCTGCCGGCCTGGAGCAGACAGATCCTGCTGGGGTGGGGTCAGGTTGGCCCAGCAGGCTCCTGTCCAGAGGGTGCAGAGGTGGGAAGTGACGTCTGGTCGCATGAGGCTGTGGGCCTTGGACCAGGGCCAGGGGAGGCCCAGAGGCCTGCGCTGAGGCCTCCTGCACATCCTGTCTGAGAGGAGCCACTAATGGCACAGGATGCAGCTCCATGCAACCCAGGGGAGGAGCACGGCCGCCCGGGGCTGGAAGAAGGAGTGATGCAGCCGTCAGGGCTCTGAGGCACACAGCTGAGGGCCGCAGGGAGCACCCTGGGCAGAGGACGAACCCAGGCACTGCCAAGGACCACAGGGGAGGTGCAGACTACGCGCAGAGCAGAGGGAAGCAGAGACCACGGGGGTCACAGGGGGGAAGACAGAGCCCAGAGGGTGCGTAACCTCAGTGACACAGACATCTGTTCCAAAGTCATGCATTGTAAATATGTTCAAGACAGAACAGGAGAAAGTGGACAGAAATGAACAAGGGAGGAATTTCAGAAGAGAAATATAAAGCCAGATGCAATTCTGCAACTGGAAACTAATAACCTATACGTGTATTTCACTGAGTTATCTAAAACATGATTGGAAATGGCAGAGGGAAGATAAAAAATATGACCAATTCCTTTATTGGCAATAATTGTCTAGAAAAAACTGAGCTCAACTTGTTGCTCAAGTATATAAAAGAATAAAGAAAAACACTGCTTATAATTCCAGCAAAAATAATCTTGAGAACATAGAGTAAATTAATTACATTTTCTGGTTAAAAAGAAAAACTTGAAATAACTCGTGGCTAGCAGATACATGCAACAAGAAATACTTGAGAAGTTATTCGGGCCATAGGAAAAAGATATCATCTTGAAACTGAAATTTATAGGGAAGCACAAATATTAAATGATAAATATGTGGGAAATATAAAGATGGTCTTATTTCTAAAAGCAAAAATTTAAAACAGAAACTATTGTATCATGTGGCTTTTAACATGCACAGAAATAAGATATGACAGCACGAGGTACAGAAGTGACACACAGAGTATTTGTTGCAAGGATCTTGCACTGCACACAAGGTGATAAAATATTGATTTTACAGACGAAATTAAGGATAATGTAGTAATTTCTGGGGCAAGTAAAAAGGAGTACTATGTACACTAAAGCTAAAAAGCAAGTACAGTGTAAAAATAGAAATTTTTTTTTTTGGTACAGAGGATTGAACTCGGGTCCTTGTGCTTGTGAGGCAGGCAGCGGAACCACTGAGCTAAATCCCCAGCCTAAAAATAGAATTTTTAACAAATAATTTAATTCAAAAGAAGGAAGAGAACAAGAAACATGAACAAAGAAATGAAACAAAACAAATAGAAAAATGATACATTTAACTGTATCACATCAGTAATTACATTAAATATAAAATGATTAAATATTCTTTTAGAAGGTCAGAGACTGTTCTGTTGAACAGAAAAATAACATGAAATAAAAGAATGCTTACAACACACACACATTTTATATAAATAAATCCACAGGAAGAGGATTAAAAGTAAAAATGTAAATAACACTGCTAAATAAAATATGATGTGGCTGTATCAGGTAAAATAGGATTCAAGAAATGTAACATGACCAGTACAATTTTGTAATGATAAAAGAGCCAGGAAGACATAATAATCCCAAATATGTGTGCACCCACATATGGAGATTCAGAAGCACAAAACAAGAGCTAGGAGAAGTAAAGGGAGAAATGGAAACACGCAGGAGATTTTAACCCACACCTCTATAGAGTCACGAGACAGGCGGTAAGCAGCACAGGGGATACAGAGGATGTAGGAAAGATCCCCAACTAAAAAATAGGTGTTTCTGGAATACTCTAACCATTGCAGAATTCACACCCATGTGTCCACGACTTTGTGGAAATAAGCTGCCTCTTCACTGAGATGCTGGTGACAGAGGTGCATGTTTGCCAAAATTTAAATTTTATGCATCAGATGAATATATTTCACGGCATGAAAATATTTCTTCAGTAGTGAAAAAACATCCTGCAATTGACTTGTTGGCTGTGTTTTCTAAATGACATTAGGATACCATGAATGATATGGTCTATGGACACAAAGTAGAATAATCCGGAGACCAGAGCTACAATCTAGAATGTTCCAGCTTTAAAAGAACACACCAGTTGTGGCCCCTTTACCTTAACAAACACAAGAGTGACCCACGAGTAACAAAATCTGAGAGAATTTGTATCTTCTGTTCACAAAGAGAGCAACAGCAGGAAAACACAGGGGTTCTGGGCCGAGTTCGCATCCCCGTCCACATGGAGATCTCCCAGCCGCAGAGATGGAACCGCTGCTGGCACAGGGCCCAGTCCGATCTTTGCTGGGAAACACTTGAGTTTAGAAGGAAGAAGGTGACCCCGCTGGCTCCAAGTCGGGAGCATCCCCAGCATGTTCTGCCATGTTGGGGGTTTTCTGGAAGACTGTACATATGGTTTTTGTCTACTTATGTTTGATTTCATTATAAAGTAGAATAAAAGAAACCTCAAAACTAGTTACTTTGATTTGATTTATGAGTAGCTTTCCTTGTGGTTCAGTAGAGCCATTTCTAAATCTCTGATCTCCCTGTTCAGCAGGAGAACATGAGTCTGTTTATATAGAAAATCACCTGGAGGGGGTCATGGGACACTGTCCCTGAGGCTGATGCAGTAGATAGCAGCTTGTAGAGAAACTATGCTATAAATACCTTATTGGGGAATTTAATAACCAAAAGCCCCAGACAGGCAGCTGTTTTCTAATAAAGTAAATTATGCTTATATTTTCTTAATACTATTTGAAAAACATGCAGAGTATTAATTTGAAAACTTACACTGATTGAAAGTTTTGCTGGGCCCCATGTGATAAATCAGGAAGAAAGGTCTGATCTAACAGGCCAAGTCAGTTCTCAAAAGAAAGCTGATACCCACAGCAGTATCTACCATGATGTTCTCTGCCAGAAAAACATGTGTTTCCTGTTACATAGGTCCAGCCCTCACATACAGGATCTGACATTTGGTAGGCACCCAATAATTGTAGAATACATCAATGTCAGTTACACTAAATAAAACGATTTTATGAATCATATTGCACTGAGCATTTGCCAACATTCACTTGCCTTTTTAAAGTCCAGCATGCAGAGCTTGGCTTTCTCTCCAAACTGCCACTTGCACTGTGTGTTTGCATCATACAACTCTCCTGGCAGCTTCTCGGGGTACTTGTACTCCTTCATAGGCTTCGGCTGGTCGGCAAGGCATATGGCTTGGGCAGTGCTGAAAGAGAGGAGATGCCTGCTAGTGACAGCTCAAAGCGCTCCCAAAGATGCCAATCAGCTGTGCCTCTACCTTTAGTGCAACTTCACAATATGGCTCGCAGAGAAAGAAGGGACATTTTTTACCTGAAGTCCAGTTTAACATTTAGCTTAATTATATTTAAACACAGGGGCCACATTTTTTTCTGAAATTGTTTATAATATATTTTACCTTTTCTAAGAAGATGATTTGGTCTTCATACAGCATTATGGGGAAAAGTGAAACTGAATAACCCCAACCAGATGTCCAACATGACAGGTTCCCTATTACTGACACCTTTTACAAGCTTTTCCAGCAAATAATCACAAAATGGAACTGGGGATTGTAACAGTCAAAACATAATTAGACTTCTCAAAGACCAAAACTAATCCCCACCCCTTTCCCCCTTCTTTCCCCCTTCTTTCCCCCTTTCCTTTTCCTTTCCTTCCTTCCTGTCTTCCTGCCTTCCCTCCTCTCTCCTTCTTTTCCTCTCTCCCTCCTTTCTTCTCTTCCTTCCTCCCTCCTTCTCCCTTTGCTCCTTATCTCCATCCTCTAGCCTTCCTTTCTTTTGTTCCAGGTTGGGGAACATCTACGCCATACTTTACAGCTTCCACAAGATCTTCAAGGACACCAGGTTCCCACCATTGACTGTCTATACTCAGCCCAATTTCTGACTAGATCCCAAGTCCAGAAGGAATTTAACTCATTGAAGTTGGCTAGTAGGTGGCTAATGAACAAATAACGATTTTTTTACAGAGATGGAATGTTCCTTTCACTACCAGGATACTTTTGGTATAATCTATGCATTTTGGGGAGGATATATACATTTTTTGTGTTTTCAAGTAGCTATTAAATCCTGCCTGTCAATTTCAGCATCCCCCCAAATCCCTTAAAACCAAAAATCTATAATCATAATAAATTAAACAATGGCAGATCATCCCCAAAAGGCTGTGCGTGGTTATCCACCTTGCATAGGAAATCTCTGGCTTCAGTCTCCAGAGCTGTGTTCCCAGATTTCACTGCCTTGGAGCTAAGGAGTCTGTACACAAAAAATCAGCAAATGGCCAAGATGGATTCCCTATAAACTCTACCAAACATTTAAGGAAAACAATCATGCCAGTTTTCTACAAAATCTTCCAGAAAATGCAAGCAGAGGCCATACATCCTAACATATCCTATGACGTCAGCATTAAAGTAATAACAAAAGCAGTAAAAGCTATAAGAAAACTACAGATTGATATTTTCTCATGAACATAAATGCAAAAAGTCTTCACCAAAAACACTAGCAAATTAAATCTAACAATACATAAAATGAATCATATGCTATAAACAAGTGGGGTCAATTCTACGGATGCAGGGCTGTTTCAACACTGAAATGTAAATTAATGCAATCCATTTTATCAAGTGACTAAAGGTGAAAAGTCACATGGTCATATCAAACAGCGCAGAAAAAGTATCACCAAAATCCTACACCTATTCTTAGCAAACTAGGAATAAAGGGGAGCCTCCTCATGTTGATAAAGAACATCTCTGAAAACCTCCAGCTAAAATCATAATAATGATGAAAACATGAAGCTTTCCTACTAAGACTAGGAACAAATTCAGGCTACCCCTTCTGTCACTTCAACGCATAGCGAAGTCTCAGCTAATGTAACAAGACAAGAAAAGAAAAGTTACACAGACAGAGAAGGATGAAGTAAATCTCTCTGTTTGTAAATGGCATGGTTATCTATGGAGACAATTTAAAAGAATGAGCACTAGACTCCTGGACCCAATAAGCAATTATAGCAAGGTTGGAGGGAATAAAAGTTAATATGAAAGAGTCAATGGTTGTTCAATATACGAGCAACGAAAAAATGAAATCTATTTGGAGTAAAAAAATATGATTTATGATAGCACTCCCAAAATAAAACACATAGATGTAAATGTAGGAAAATATTTGCATGAGACCTTTATGAGAAAAAACACAAAACTTTGATAAAGAAAAAATCAAAGAACTAGGTAAATGAGATAGTCCATGTCCATGGACAGGAAGACTCAGTGCGGTCAAGAAGTTATCTCCTCCCACTTTGATTTACAGAATCAATACAATCCCAAAATTCAAGCAAGATATTCTGTGGATATATAAACTGATTCTAAAATTCCTATGTAAGGCAAAAGATCCAAAATAATCCACACAAAACTGAAGGAGAAAAATGAAGTTCAATGACTGATACTACTCAACTTCAAGACTTGCTGTAAAGTTACAGTAACCAAGAAAATGGAATACTGGTTAAAGAATAGAATCAGATCAATTCGAGAGATCAGAGGGCTCAATGCTAGACCCACAAATATAGTCCACTGGTCCATGACAAGACAGTAGAGGCCATAGAAAGAAGAAAAGACGGCCTTTTCAACAAATACTACTGAACAACTAGACATCTATGTGCTAAAAAAGAATCTTTATACATTCTAGGCACATTATGGGGTTCACATTTCTTGATTTCAAGATCAACTATAAAGTTATAGTCATTTTGGCAAAAGGATAGACATATAGATCAACAAAACAGAACAGGGATTCCAGAAATATATCAGCCCTACATGGTCATTAATTTTTTTGACAAAGTTATAAATTTAATTGATTCTAATGAAAGTCTGTACTTTTCATTAAATGGAACTGAAAATATTGGGCTACCTTAAAAATAGAACTGTGATCCATAACTTACACCATACAGAAAACTTAACTAAAAGTTGGTCTTTAACCTCAATATATAATGAAAAACTACACTCCTACAAGAAACTAGACCTTAAACCTTTCACAAAATTCAGCTCAGAATGGATCATTGATCTAAATGTAAAATATAAAATCATAATATATTAACAAAATAGCTTAGAAAAAAATCTAAGTGATCTTGGGAATTGCAAAGACTTTAGATTCAACGCTCAAGGAAAAAAAATCACTGGTATGGTAACTTTCATTAAAAATAAAAACCTGTGGTTTCTGAAAGACACTGTCAAGAAAATGAGAGGACAAGGCACAGATGAGAGGAAATACCTGCAAAAGACAGATCCAATAAAGGGCTGTTATTCAAAATACACCAATAACACTTAAAATTCAACAGGAAAACAGACAACCCAACCAAAAAAGATCCGAGTAGACACTTTCTTAAAAATATATTCAAATGACCAATCTGCATGAACAAAGATGCTCAACATCATATGCCATTAGAGAATTACGAATTATCACTGAGGACCACTATACACGTACTACAATGGCTAAAATCCAAAATACTGACAACATCAAACGCTAGTGAGGATGTAGAGCAATGGGAATTCTCATCATTTCTGAGGGAAGTGTGAAACGGAGCAACGACAAAGGCATGATACCAAAAGGATAATGATGGCAGTCATTCTCAGACCATCTACCACAATGCCCACGTGGGCAGAATAGATTTTGACATTGTTCCATGCCATACAGAAAAAGTGAAGTTGTCTACATTTGGTAAACAAAGCAGTGAAGCTTGTAGGAGAGAGATTATGTGGGAGAATGCATTTATGACTTTGGAATAAACAGATATTTTTTCACCAGCAGTACACAGAAAAGCATCAACCATAAAGGAAAAATACAGGTAAGTCAGACTTCATAAAAAATGCCTGTTTATCAAAATACGCCATTAAAAGTGAAAACAGAAAGTCACTTAGAGAATATTTACGACACATATTCCAAAATTACTGCGAAGATTCACACTCAGGGTTTGTAAGGTAATCCATGAAGAGATAAGAGAAAGACAGGCTTTCAGGCTAGCAAGGCATGGGATGTGAAGGACACTTACTGAAGAGGTTGCTCACGTGGGTATTAACACAGGAAAAGGTCTCCAACCTCACTGACCACCACCTTGTATGGCACTACACATGCCAGAATAACTGCAGGGACAAACACTGGCCAGACCAGGTGCTGCAGGGGATTGGAGCCATGTGAATGTTCACAAAGGCCTCTGGGTGAGCAGCTTTGCACAGGTGCTCAGCAGCCACTACTGAAGCTGCGGACTCTGACCTGCAGTACTGAGGACCCTGACAAGGCACTCCTGTTCTCAGGGACATATATGGGCCAGAAGGGAACTCACTGCACCCTCCTCTAACAGCCAGACACCGGAAACTCAAATGTCTACAACCAAGGGCACAGGTGAACCACTTCCTGTATAACTAACACTACACTTAAATGTGGTAATGGGGAAGAATCTCATTCTCACAAAAGAGTAAGTGACTTATGACTCCCAACACAAAAAGCTAGAAAGTCAGCTAAACGAACCATGGCGTGCCATGTCGGGTGCCTGGGAAGCATGGAGAGGAGGCAGGTGGCATCCGGGTGCCACCAGGCTCTGTGTCCCGACAGGGCAGAGTGGCGCTACTGTGTTCACATGAGAGAGGTCCTTACTGCTCTCCGCCTTGCCTTCCTCTACAGGTCCTGTACCACAACAAACATAACGCTACCAAAAGCAATAAGCCAAGGTCAGAAATGCCACAACAACATTTCAGAATCCTTTTCCACTCTAAGTAATGAACGGACCCATACAATGGGAAAGGGTTTGAGACATCATTAGTCGTATGCCTTCATTTTCTGACTAGGAAGATGGGGCCCCCAGGAAAGGTCAGTTCTTTGCTGAAGCCAGTGTCTGCCCAGAGGTGAGTGTGACAACCTCAGTCGGCATGCCAGCCCTCCGACCTCTGCCTTCTCCCTGCTAACACTTTCTCGGCATCAGAAGAGGTGCAGGGCTTCAGGCTCCCCTGACTCCCAGCTGCCTGGGGTGGTCACCTTTTTCATGCAGTGAAGCATGCAGATGCGCGTGGTCAGAGGGAGGCATATTCACTGATTCGGACGGCATGACTCCAATTTCTCAGGGGCAACTTGAAGATGAGTCCATGTTGTCACGAAATGTAAAATAATGAGCTAGAATTTCCCTGCATCATAGACCTCCTGGATGCAGACATGAGTAATTGTGATGAGAATTGTGTCCGTTAATAGGAAGTGACACATGGCCTTACAGAGTGGGCTGATGAGTTTCTCCATATACACATCTGTCCTCCATGGTGCTACTTCTCCATGGGAGAAAAGTGGTCCTGACAATTTCAGGCCACTTGAGTTCCCTCACATATGTATTTTTCCGTCTATCAAATGCTGGACTCTAATAAAGGAGAGCAGATTCATCTTTTACAGCTCACTGTTTATCCTTACTCACTGCTGGGATCATATCCAAATGGCCACTTAATTGGTGCAGGATATAACAGTATTTTGATTACTTGGAAATCAGGAAGCCAGCAAACATGTCAAACAAAGCAGTTTCAGATGCATTAAATCAGTGAGAAACTTCTAACTTACTGCAGGAGGGTCAGTTTGCCACTGGTTTTCAAGCAAAATAAACCTTAATAGCAAGTTTGATGAGAGGCTTTCTTGAAAACTTTAATCCTGGAAGAAAACAAATTTGTGGGGATGCTGGCTGTACCTACATCCTTGGGGATCAGGAAGCAGAGGTCAGTTCTAGGGTCCGGAGGCGTGGGTTCTGCTCTCAGTTCTGCCAGCAATGGGCCGAGGCCCTGGGAAGGACGCTGGAGCACAGACCGCCATCTTACCTGTTCCATGGGCTTGTTCTGAAGCTCGGGCGGACAACACTTTGCCGCCGCTACACTCGGGCAGTGGTCTGAGCCTCCTGCAGGACAGCACTCTGCCCGCTTGCCTTAGCCCTGCGGCTCCTGGAGGGACGGGCTGGTCTGTGTGGCACACATGGAGCATGCCTTTGTCCCAAGTGAAGCTTGGTTTCAGGTTTTAACCGGCATGTGGATGCCCAGTCAGTGCCATATAGAGCATGGCTTACCTAACCAGTTCTAACCAGTTGACCTAAAGATAGTTCTTAAAGTCCCTTCTTTCTCCAAAATTAAATTTAAATCTACTGACCACATCTTTTTCAAGGGTCAAAGCCTCCCTCCCCAGTATTCTAGATCCCAAATGAATTACTGGTATAGAAACATTTTCTAAAAAACATTTCTTAAAATGAAAAGATTTAGAGCCAGGGGTGAGATTTATATACTCAAGTTTTCCCACCAAATGTGAAATGTATTTTGTCAATAAAAGAGGGGAAAAAGAGGTTAGTTCTGCTTGCTCATTATGTACACAGAAATATACACACTAGGTGATCATTTCCTTTGAATTGACTAGAGATGCTTTGGTATAAAAGTGAGAAACTTAAACAAAAATTAATGTAAGTGACAAATACTTTGGTTTGCTAAGTGCTTCGAGGGCTTCTGTTGAGTTTACAAGGTCCCTGCTGTAGGGAGTTTAGTGAACCCTTTGGTCACATGGGCACCTCAAGACACCTTCAGAGGGGACCCCTGTGAGAAGCACACCCTGGCTGTAGGCCCAAAATGAGGTCAATGGTCAGTGACCGTGAGAGCCGCAGAGGACCACAGCCGGCTGGAGGAGTGCGTACCTTAGAAATTTGTGCAGATACTGGCGGCTGCAGGGCGACCAGGAGAAGACCCCGTTGCGTCCTGCCAGTGTAGGGGACATGATGTTGCCCTCTGACTTTTTGCACATGTTCCCTTCTCCATCGTGGACCATGCCAAAGCTACAGGAGAGAGAGAGAGAGAGAGAGAGAGAGAGGGAGAGAGAGGGAGAGAGGGTCATCGCAGAGCACAGCAGAGCTAAAAGCACTGGGCAGGCTCCCAAGAACAAGTTGTGGTTATGGGGACTCGGGAAGTCTTTGATGGAAGGCAGGCAAACCGCTGAGGATGCATGCTCCAAGGCCTCCTGGGTGCAGGCCATTCATGGAAAGGTCTGGAAGTGGACACGGGTACCAATCCGAGGGGTGGGTGGCCGGGTCTTCTGTGATACTGATGAAGATAATGTTCACCGTACCTCTTCTCCCTTCCCTGTTCCTCTGCTCGCGAGGCCGCCAGAGCTCCCTAGAGTGTTTGTTAGAACTGTGGAAGTCAGGGTCCCAGGTAGGAACTGGCTCAGAGCAGACACCCAGACTTCTCCAGTCAGCTCCCGACATGAGTCTGATGCTCAGCACCTTTGGAGAAGCACTGCCCACCTCCTGCCCCCTGTGCTGGGCACAGACCCTGTGCTGCTGTGCTCCCCCCACCCCACCAGGCCTGCAGGCCCGCACCCTGTGACAGCTGGGTGCCGCGTGACCTCTTACTCCGAATTCCTCCCCGCTCCTGAGGGAGCATCTCCACAGCAGCCCGGCTGCACCTGTTCTTGTGTGCGAACCAGTCCAGCTGGGGCTCCGGCCCCTCCTCAGCATAAGAACCTCCCAAGCTACAGTAGCTCAGGCACCTTTACAATGGGCTGCTGCAGGTGTCCTCAGGCCCCGATACCACTCACATCCCCTTCCTGCACTCGTGAAACTGCAGCCAAGCACCCGCAGATGCACACTGACCTGGCTGCCACTCCTTCCTCCGAAACCTGTGCTGCTGCTTAACTCCCGAACTCTTTGCCTGCAGGAGAGCCACACTGTGGTCTTCGGCTCTCCAGGGGAGCGGGTGTGGGGCCTTGGCAGGAAAGCCCGCAGGACACAGGGGCCCAACGTGGCCCTGAGCCCTCCACTAGGGTCAACAGGCCCCTGGAGACCCGCACACTGACAGTTCACACCCAGGCACTGCAGGAGCAGATTCCACAGTGAAGGAGAGAGAGGAAGGGGAAAAGCAACAGACAGAGAGGAAGAAAAGAACAAGGTAGCTCCTAGGTCTAAGCCTTCTGTGGCCCAGGTCTCTAACGAGTGGAGGGGAAGCAGCAGGAGGATACCCATGTGGGGGAATAGGGCTCATCAGGAAAAGAAGACTCTCTGCTTGTTGTGGAGGCTGAAGACACATTTGTCCACTTAACTGCTTTACTTAGAAATGCACAACACGAATGAATAATAATGAACACGCAGAAGCACTCAACATTCACAGCAGGACGCTAAGCCTGTGACCTAGTTTACCTTAAGCCTCACTTCACCCCTAAAGGCCAGGGCAGCATCATTATCACAAGCGTGAGGGCTGCAGACCAACTCTGTTGGGGGCCTGGACACGGACACTAGGGGGTCAGGGCCCAGCGGGTCCCCTGCAGCAGTGGAACCTGAGCAGGGCTGAAGGGTGTCTCCAAGGAGATCTTGCCTGCAAATATTGTCCGGTTTCTGCAACATTCCCGATCAGTACCAAGGGTGATGTGGATGTGGTCATTTCAGCTTCCACCCATGCTCTGAAGTTCTATTAAAGGCCATTCATCAACGCCAAGGCAACCGCATGGCAGAGGAAATGTGTCATGGCTGTGAAAAGGATTCGGGCTGAAATCCCAGATGAGAGCTGCCCTGGAGAGACTGCAGTGAAAATAAGTCCAGCCCAGCCTGGCCTGGCTCACGGAGAAGATGCGTGTCGATCCAGCAATTGGCCTCCATAAAGTTATTAGCATTTTTGCCCACATTTCCAAGGAAATCAAAGTAACAATGCCCCGGGCATACCTGTTTTTACATGTTTTCATCCGAGGTGTTTTCTGTAATTCTTTCTAACATCAGGTCTCAAACTCTGCTATGCACTGGCAAATCTGAGAAATACCACGAGCAGTGTAGCTAGCCGCAGGCTGCCCTGGCGGATTTCTGGTACCTTTGGAGGACCTGGCACCCAGCAATATTCCAATGCACCTCCACGTAGTCCTGTGCCTACCACATTGCAGCAGTGCCATCCCACAAGCTGGGATCTGTCTACAGTCACAGCCCTCGTGGACCGGAGTGTGGAGGATGGCAGTGCATCAGCACAAAGAGACCACTCAGGGGTCACACCTAATAGTAGTGAACCTCAGCAAAGTCATGCAAGAGGGAACAGGACACGTCTTGAAGGTAAGGTTGGTATTTGGTCACCGAGAAATATAATTGGTATTTATTTTACCCAGGCCAGAGAGATTTTTGTTCCTGGGCACTATAGTACTTTGTTTAAAATAGTTATCACCCACTATGACAAAATAATAAATACATTGTCTTTCTTTGTCTTTAGCAGTTTGAAAGTCGCTGAAGGACTGAAAGTCCCCTTCACATTCCCGCAACCCCTGCTAGCAGGACTGACCGTCCACAGAAGCTGCTCCTTCTTGCTGACCGAGTAAAGGGCAGCCTTTCCAGCTGTAGCACTGACTCAGACACGGACACAAACCCAGTTTGGGATTGGATTGGATCTGATAATTGCAATTATTGTTATACGCTTTCAATGTCTTCCACAATCCTTTTTGGAATAGTTCAACACTGTCTGTGAGTATTTATTCATCAGTAATAAAATTCCCAAGACGACGATGAAGTCTTGGCTTCTATCTAGATGTCCCTCAAGAGCCTCCTGTGCTCCGAAGCGGGGTTCCTGGGAGGTGCCTGGGTCAGAGGGGCCGACCGCGTACTTGTCTTAGGAGGGGAGGTCTGAAGGGCAGGCCCGGGGAGGCTGGGGCCCAGAAGGCCTTACCTCCCTCCCAGCCTGGCCTCTCTCTTGGTCTCGCTGCTTCCTGGCCACCATGCCCTAAGCAGCTTCTCCTCCAGGAGCAGCTCTCCTCCGCTGTGAATCTGTGCCATGCCACCCTGCCTCGGAGGCGGCCAGCCATGCCAGGACTGAGTCCTCTGCACACCGCAAGCCAAAATAAACTTCTCTCCTTTCAAGTTGCTGCTGTCGTGTTGTATGCAATGGTCAGGAACGCGACTGAGACAGATGCTCAGTCAGGCGGCTGCAGAGGTGGAATCCATTATTTCAGCTGCTTCGGACAGCATGGCTAGGGAAACGCGACACGCACCAAGGCAACAATGGTCCAATGCCACCAGGATGGTGGCCGAAGGGCTGGATGGCCGGAGCCCGACTCAGGCTTCCTGAGTACCTCGGCTCACCCTCCAGGGAGGGGGGCCAGGAAGCTGGGGCGTAGGCAGCAGTGAGGGGAATCAAGTGACCAGCAGGGCAGGTAGCTGTGGGACCCAGGCAGAGGCTGCTTGGGAGGGGCAAATCATCTACCTCTAAGCCTCACTTTCACTCCATAAATGGCACAGAATACAAGGCACCACTTCTGGCCTGCCCGGGTGGCTCCTGCGGGGCCGACAGCCCTCACTCCTTGGCCCTGTGTGGGACATGTCTCGTTTGTCCTCCCTTAGGTCTTGGGAAGGGATGAATCCCCAGCCTTCCAACAGAACCCTACACAGTGCCTCACCGGCAGAACGCAAGTTGGGTCCATGAACGGATGGGTCCATAGATTCGGGGAAAGACAAGAAACAGCGGTGGTGGAGTCCTTCTGAGCATGGTGAATGTGCTTGGATGGTATCTTTAGAGCCTGATGACGCAGCGCTTCATAGAAACCTGCAGCTCAAACACCACTGCTCCTGCGCATGGCTTGCATGAGGGGCACGCTGTGGTCTTCCGGCTTTGCAGATGGAGAAGGTGTGTGACAGTGGCCTGGGTCTGTCCCTGCAAGGTGTGATGGTGCACAGTGCATCGGGAATCAAGTCCCAGAGCCCTGTCCAGCACATAGTGAGATTTCCCTTACATGGGAACTGTCACATGGGGTCAGGCCCAGGTTCTCTAAAACGTGCAGCTCAGCCCTTGGTATTTTGGTGGCAGATCTTCAGTGACTGCACTTAGAAACCACAGGTCCATGCCTCCTGACTCAGTGTGAGCAGGGAATCCCCAGATGCTGGCTGCAGAGCAATCTGGGTTCAACACTGTGTGCTCAGGGAGAAAGCACATCTTGATTCCGGGCCCAGCTTCTGGATTCCAACTCAAATCCGAACACCCACTCCTGGCAATTGCTCTCTCTGGGTCAGACTCCCCAGTGGGAACTATCAGACATTTTAAGGTGAAAGCAGCGGCAATCTGTAGAAGTCCATTGGTCAGACCTTACCGGGAGCCTTGCTCTGAGTCCAAGGTTCGAAGATGCAACGGCTCGTCCGCAGCGGGGAGCAGTCTCCCCCGAGTAGCAGCCTCTGCACGTGATCCGAACTCCAGAAGGAAATTTTACCTTCGAAACAGGGTATTTCACGGGTCTTTCATAATAAAAGTGCCAAGAGATGCAAAATTACTTTTTTATTCTTAAATTGTAGAAATCAAAAATGTGACTCTCCTGAAGCTCACTGCCAAAGGTAAAGGCACACTGCTCATGTCATGGTGTTTCACCATGCATCAAACCTGTACTTCCTTATAATAATAATTATTATTAAATAATAAACAAATGAACCCAATAAGTGTGCGGCCTTGGATTCAATTCAAATAAAATTCATGAAATTTTGTTACTGAGTCTTGTGTGCCCCTGCCTTTATTATCTGACAACTTGTGGGAAATACTCACTTTGCACACTCTCAAGCCTGCTCTGCTCACCCCTATTCTGTCCAGACGCACCTGCTGGACCCTCAGCCTGGCCTCCTTCGGATGGGGTAGGCAATACAGGGATTATCACGGTCACTTCTACAGGTTGAGGTATGTGTAAAAGGCTCTACAAGCTTCACCAAAAATGCAAACCCAAAATATAAATAAATTAAAGAGCAAAATGAAAAATAGATAACAGGAAGTCAGGAGATAGTTCTTTTGCAAATAGGAAGGAGATCAAGAGATTGAGGAGGGGGAAGAGGGGAAGGGGATGTAAAAACAAGTGAGATGTGCCACGCACACGTCCCGACTCCCCATGATGCATGAATTATGTACTGTTAACACAGACCAGTAAAATGAAAACCGTTATTACCACTGCCATTGCCAGAATATTACTGATATTGCCATGACACGCTTCAGATTCAGCACACGCTAAATCCATACTTCCTAGTTTCTCAGTGTGATCAAAATTATCCCACTGATGATACAGCGCCTCACAGTGCGCTGCTCTGTCTGTGGCACAAAGTTCTTGGACCACCAGATGTGTAAGGAAGATCTCTCAGCTCCTGCAGATCGGTGCTGCTGGGGAGGGGCTCGCCTTCCCCAGCACCACAGCCCCTTCTTTTATCCTCCGCTGTATCCCCATGGTCAGGAGAAAATGCCTTTTCCTTATTTGGAGGAAATTCTTTATCCATCCATGCCCCATCTGGGTGAGGAAAGGTAACATTAATAATTGGCTGAAGAAAAACAAATGCCAATGCTGACTGGGTGGACACTAACAGAAGGCCTGGTTTCGGTGGACCGAGTTGAGTTTACCCGAGTCTACCGCACCGCCAATGTCCCCATCCCAGCTGCTCACCCAGCTCTGGTGGGCTCAGCCCTGCGTGATTGAAATACTTCTTGCCTTGATTGTTTAATTAAATTCAGGTATGGTTCAGAGGACAGCAAGAGCTCATGTCGTTACAGTAATGAAAGTTTTTGAAGTTTTAACTCTAGCAGACTATTAAAACTACAATCATGATTTAACTGAAAGCCTTACAAAGCATAGGTACAATTTTCCAAGCAATGAAATAGTCAATCATTACCTGAGGTGACTAAGGGATCAGAAATGAGGTACAAAGCCTCATTTCCAGGTCATCGGTTCACACAGAGCCAAAGCCCGCAGGTTCTCTGTGGGATTCAGTGGCCAGAATCCCACAGAGATTCTGGCACACACATGCACACATGCATACACATGCATGCGCGCACACACACACATGCACGCAGACATGCTTTGAACAGCTCTGGGAGACTTAAGTCCATCCCCTCAATCTAGTTTTCCAACAGGGGATGGAGACTTCGGATCACAATGGCTGCCTTTGTTCTCCTATTGCCAGTGAAATCAGGGGGAAAGGAAAAAATAACAGGAAAATTGGGATTCCTAGTTGTACACAATCCTAGAAATTTCATGTATGGTCAGTCCGGCAAGAAAACACTTGCATCGCTTCTGTGTTCACTTGGCAGGAGGTCTGCACCTTCTTGGGCAGCCATGGGGCCGCTAATTTTTAAAACAATGCTTCAAGTTCAAGTCAGCATGAAGAATTATCATCCAAAGAATTTAATCTAGGGAGTAAGAGTTTCCATTAAAAAATGGCTAGAAATGCTTCATGTTACGAGTATAAGAGTACAATTTTTTATACAGGGAAGACATCGATGACAGACATGCCATTCTTGTTGCGTGTGCTTGCCCAGGCCCTGGGCCCTGTCCCCCAGGCTGAGCTGAAGTCACAGCTGATGCTGCCTCACTGCAAAACCAGCAGGGCTGACCTGGGGCGGAGCAAAGGAGGAGAACCAGCTCCTTCTGGGTCTGTCTCTGTCAGCCCAAGCCCTGCCCATATCAAAACACAACATCCCCACAAATCATTAGACACAAACTCGACTGTCACAGCAGTTGCCAATGAGAGTATAATGGCCTCCTTTATTCGGAGACCCCTGATAGTGCCCAACTGTGAAGTGAGATGGAGCCACAGTGCCATGGAACAGAGACAGATACAACTGCCCTCAACTTTACGCTCCAGGTGAGCAGAGCATTTGAGAAGATCAGACAGCGGGGTGTGAACATGTGCACTGCTCCGGCTTTAAAACGTGCAGGGCACTGAGACAGAAAGACAAGGGTCTCGGTGACAGCATTTAGTAACTGCCACTGTTGCTGGAGGTCTAGGAATCCCCTCTACAGACTTGACTTAGGGTGTGAGTACTAAATTATGGTGACCACACAGGTAGGAAAGGCGCCAGGCCCCCCTCCTGTGGAGATGGACTCACTTGTGCCCAGACTCGTGGGCGATGGTGAAGGCCAGGCCCAGCCCTGTATCTTCATTAATAGTGCAGCTGCGGTACTTACTGCACATCCCACTGATGGGAGCAAATCCTGTAAGCACAGAGATTAAATGATTACATTGCAGCATTGGAACATGAAAACGGTATGTTTGTTCTCTGTCCTCATCTTCATTGGGGGAAATATAAATGGGCAACCCCGAGGTAAGCATATAAAAGGCATGAAATAATGGGAGGGAGAGGCTGGGGATTTAGCTCAGTGGTTCCAGCTCCAGCCTCATAAGCGCAAGGTCCTGAGTTTGATCCCCAGTACTGAAAAAAAAAAAAATACTGGGAGGGAAAGGGATCTATTCCCAGGGTCCCAGGGACTCTTTTTCTCATGAAAACAATTCATGGTTCTATGCAGTGTTCCTGGCATAGGCCATAACTGGTGCAAAATACAAGAAGGGATTTATTGCAGAGGAAGGAGAATTTCTGGCTCTCTCTATAAACATCTGTGACCTCAAGAGCCTGAGGGGAAAACCCTTTTGAGAATGGGTGTATTGGGAGGTCTCCAAGACCAATCCCAGGCCAGCAATTTGCATCTGTCACAATGAGCAATTTGTCATATTCACAATGAGGGTCTCATACAGCAAAAGGAGACAGAGTAAAACCAGCAAAGGGAAGACGTGGGAGCAGCCTGGGAGAGCCAGGCTCCAGTTGCTGACTCTGCTCCCAGGGGAGCCATGCTGGGTGTGCCAGCTTCCCCAGCAACAGACTGGACAGCACCGGTGGGGCTGCTGACCAGGAAGCTCACTGGGGACTCAGTGTCCAGAGCTGTCATCAGAGCTGCTCTCAGGGACACCCACTGTCTCCTGTACCCCAAAGTTCCGGCCTCCAGAAAGCAAAGCAGGTGGCAGGCCGAGTCTCATGACTTGTACAGACAGCTGGGGCACAAGGGCCTCTCTTACCCAGCAGGGTAGTGACCATCATCCCCAAAATCTAAGTCCCTGCAGCTGCCAAGGACAGCCTTGGAGACAAACTTCTGTATGGACAAGCGGTCAGGCCACTGCAACCCTTCCTGAACTATAGGGCTAAGGTGTTTAGACCAGGACCTAGCTGAAAGCTTTATAATAGAACAACTTCCTCCCTGAGAACTTAGGAATAAAGAGGGGTGATAAAATGTCCCAAGGAGTCCTGGTTATCAGCACTCTTGTTCTCCCAGTACTGGCTTCTCACATGGCAGACAAGAGCTCTACCACTGAGCTCCACCCCAGCAGCACACTCTACACTGACTGTGGGAAACTACCAAACTGCTGCCCTCAGGATACAGCCACCTCCACACACATCTAAACTGCTGCTTACCTGCTAGAGCTGAGATACTGATAGAGAGAGGAGGATATGATATTTCTGTAGAATCTTTATAAACATTTATAGCTATGGTTATTTCTGTCATATAAGGAAACACACTTAAATCTACTGTTCCTATTCTCACAAAGGTAGAAAAAATGGAAGAACTTGTCTTATATCGGCAGATACAGAAACTCTTGACTCTATGAAGGACTTTAGTTTGTTCCTCGATACACATCCCCATCCATCCCATGCTGCAGACTGAACCCAAGGCCATGCACCTGCTAGGAACAAAAATCACTCTTAATGAATCAAAGTGTTCTCTCGCATTTCTCCAGAAAGTCCACACAGAGAGTGTGAACTCTTCTCCACTGTCCTTCGCAGTAGGTACAACTCAGGGATATGGGGCCAGTGCAAAAATACCGAGCCTCCTATGCCCCCCAACCAAAAGGGCACAACACTCAGTCGCCATGCTGTCCTGCAGGGACTTACCCAGGGTGTCACAGGGCTCATTCTTCCAGGAGCATATGTCCAGGCCGGTCAGCAAGATGGCGTGGTCGTGCCGGGTTCCATCTTTCCCCATCAGCCCAGACTGCCACTGGCAGAAGCTGCTTAAGGTGCGGTCTGCATGGTGACTTATTACCAGCCCTGGCTATGCGAGAGAGAGACAGAGAGGAGAGAGAGAGAACTCCCGTGAAAATGGAGAGGAGAGAAAGCATGCCACAAGGCTCAGTCACCACCACAAAGTGTCATCAACTTAGATTTCAAATACATAGCTGGACCTGAATGGCACACCAGCTAATGCACTAAAATCCTAAAAAGAGCGTGTTATCTAAAACCTTGTGGATTTGGTGACAACCCTACTGGCTTTCTGTGCATACACCTCAGGAACATGTGGCTCTGAATGTATGTTCACAGACCCAGGCCCATCATTGTTTGTGCATGAAATTTTCTGCACTTAAAATATTTGAAAATCATTTTGCAAAGTCATCTAAGGCAACATGATTATTCATGTATGGCTTTGCACATATGTGCACCAACAACACATTGCTATGTTCCTTTCATAAGTAAGCTGAGCCAGTGGCATTCCGGGTTTCCCAAGTAATGCCTCTTTTAATGTTTATAACCACAGTAGTAAGAGCTGTCTGATAAAGGCAACATGTTTACGAAAAGAGGCAGGCTGACTGGCAAAGCTTGATTTCTGGAAAATAAACTTAGCTACAAGCACACTACTCAGAAGACACTGAACCTTGTCCACGGGTGTCAAATTCTCATGCAGAAACTGAAGTTTCAGAGTGAACAACTTCAGAACTCTCGGGCCTGAGGGATTTGGATGCAGCAGGAACACTCATCATTATAGGTTGTGGTGAGGTATCCAAATTTTATTGACCCATATGGTATATTTTCCTATGGGCGCTCAAAAACACCAGGTTAAGTACCTCGATCTCAGTACACTTTTGTATAAAAGCTTCCACTTATGGAGTGGTGAGAAAGCTGTGACTCTCAGTCACTACAAATGGTTTCTCCTGCAATGTTCATTTTGTTTTTTAGAGTCAGCTACACCTAAGCTAAATGCCATCCATAAGCCCTGAGGCGCGCCTTACATTCCTCAGCTGGTGACTTCCAGGAACACTGCATTAATTAAAGTGAGCACAGGTGTACGATCAAACGATAACCTCGCTTATTCTTTTGCAGCTTGGATGGATTCCAAGGTGAAAATGCTTTAATACAAGGCGTAATTAACCTGTCACCCGAGAGGACCGGCCGGCTCAGCACTCTCCCCACCAGACAGGCACACAAAGGACACGGAGGCGGCGTCTTCCTGAGGGGCTGCACCAGACACAGCTTTCCACGCGCGCCCCACCCTGCATTGCAGGGGAAAGAGGATCTGAGACCTAACGGCCAGGCTCAGATTCCATCTCATAAATGTGTGCTTTATACAAGAAAGCTGTGGCTAACAGGAGAGTCTGGTGCTCTCATCTCCTAGTCCAGGTTCAGCCTGGGGAAAGTAAACGAGGGAACCTTTTCTAAGATATTCCCCATCCCCCGTGCCCGGAAGTGCTATGTGGACCAAGAGGTTCTGAGGCCAGTACAGGGAGAGTCCTTCTCTCACTGCTACCAAGACCAGAGCAGTTTGGGGCTGGTCTGCAATCAGGGACATGTGCCAGACATTTCAGAATTCTAAATAAGAATCTAAGGTAGAAAGTGGTGAGAGTTACAGTGTCCAGCCATAAAAGGGTCATAGCAGAGTGAAGCAGGGTAGTAACACACTGCACGATTTAGCATCTAGGCTGTGATGCACTGTCTTCTAGTAAAAACCAGAAAGTGAACGATTCCCACAGGCTCCTTAGTCACTCAGCCCGCTGACCCCAGGCACATTCTGTCCTCTGTACCCCTAGCATGTTTCCCACCCACAGGTTTAAGGCAGCTCTTCTATTCCACTTTCTTTTAATCCAATTTTATAAAGAATTTTCCTCACTATTACTAAAGAAAAAGCAGTAAAAAAAAAATCATTGAGAAGATCTGAAAAGAAACTCATTGTTTTAGACACAAAATATTAAATCCTTTTTTCCCAAAGAGAAAGAAAAGAATCAATAAAATGATTATATTAAAGAAAAAGAAAAGCATTGTTTTGCACTTATTTTTCAAGGGCAAAAAAAGCAAACCATTGGTTTAAAAAACAGAATACCTGTTCATCTTCCAGCAGAATGAGGCCAACAATGGCAATGTTGATGTTTCCTCCTATGGTCCCGTCCTTGAATAACACAGACACCTGGAATGGACAGCAAATCCGGGTCAGTCCCCAAATAGTAGCATCTTCTCAGCCTGTGAGGAGACCTGAGGTCCGGCTGGTGAGCAGGAGAGAATCCTGTGATTCTCTTATTTTGCTGGATAGGTATAGACATATCTAACCACCAACGTAGGATCCTCATCATGCTTGCCTGGAAATAAAAAGCTAAACCTTGGGGTGGGAGTAGGGGCTTCACCTATCATCATTGAGTACTGATGGAGGGATTACAGGCCCCTGAGTTGGAAAGTGTCCTCTTTAGAATACAGGGACAAGTTTTCTAACACATAGTTATGATTACACAAGCCAAGCACACCCCAACCTCTCCTGGCAAAAAATTTCAGAAGCACAAGAGAAATGCTTAGGATAAGACTAAGAGGACTGTCATGGCTTGTATCTAGATGTCCCCCATGAGTGAGGATTTTTGGAGGTGGCTCAATCATGGGTGTGTGATACTGGGATTCAGGGTGTGTCGTGCCAGATTAATCCACTGATCGGTTTAGCATCGTTCTGGGTGTGGATAATGGGAAGCCCCACCTTGGGTGTAGATGGCACCACTCAAAAGGCTTGTAGGCTGGATGGGATAAAAGGAGGAAGGCTTGCTGCTATGGCTTTGCTGCTTGCTGCCTCCTGCTCACCCTGCCATGGACTGTTTCCCCTCTGCCATGCCACCCTGCCTTGGAACCAGCTGACTATGGATTGAAATCTTTACAAACTGTGAGGTGAAATAAACATTTCCTCCTTTGACTTTGGGTCTTGGGTATTTTGTCTCTGCAACAAGAAAAGTAACCAAGACAAGCACACAAGAAAGAGAAGGGAACAGGTGGTAAGAAGACGAAAAAATTGCAAAGGATGGAGCACAGAAGTAGAAATGGATGAGTAGAGGGGAGCTCAGGGCTAGAAGCAAGGACAAGTGACAATCATGGGCTGGTGCAGCAGGGGGCCGGTGGGCACCATGGTGTAGAAATAAATACTGGTCAAGTCCGCAGAGTAGAGGTAAAGGCTTCCACCCATCAGAGTAGGATGGGTGGGCCCTGTGGTCCTCCATGGAACTCCCCCTCCTCCCAGCACTGGGCAGCCCTCCTTCCCCATTTCTTGTTTCCTGCATCAGCAATCTGTGATCCCACCTGCCAGAAAGGACACTGGCAAAACAATCGTGCAGCACCATGAAGAGGGAGAGACACTTAGGGGTACTCCATTCACTGAAGGGGAACATAAAACACGCCGCTAAAGTCTTCTTATTAGACTATATTTAAAACCACATGATGAGCCCACACAGTTTTGGTGATGTTGAATTCACCCACACGTGGCAGGGCTTAGTATAGCTCTCACCACTCTGCAATAATTACTGCCGCTTCCACGTTGAGACAGAGCCACACTTCGTCTGAGAGGATGTTCTGCAAGCTTGTACTGCTCTGCGTTTTCAGAGTCAAACTAATTCACAGTCATCTGAATATCAGAATTTCAGAAAGGACGGTATTTGTACACAGTTCTCTAAAATCACACATCGAGTGCTGAGAAACAGATTTAAGGCTCTGAAATGTCTCAGCCTCCTCTTAGAGAATCCCAGTAAAGAGGGCCATTGACAGCTGACAGGTTTCAGTGTCAAGTCCTTTTTTCTCTTTATTTCATGCACTGAAATTGTGCGATGTCACCTTTGACTGGAGCATAGTAAAACTGAAAGAGCCATCTCATAAAATATTTCTTATTTATGAGACCCAAGTCCCCCATTCAGAAGTGGACCATCTCTCACGGGCATGCACACTGTCTCCCAGGTGTCATTCCCCAGCTGGCCTCCAGGGGCGCAGGCCCTACCATGTTGAGGATGGTCAGCACGTAGGTGGTGATATTCTCCTGCCCGTGGCTTCTCATCATGGTCTTGTCCACCACCACCAGCGTCTCCACGTTCAGCTCCTCGTTCCTGTGGGACTTGAGCAGAGAGCGCTTCGGTCGCAGGTAGGACTTATACTCGTCAGGCAGGATGAAGAGGTCGTCCTGGGGGGGTTGCGGCATGTCTACAGGGCAGAAGAGCAAAGGGAAGCAAATGCGTTGCACAAAGCCAGCGCGGTGACTCGCACTGTACAGATCTGAACCTAACATGGCGCGGTCTCTGTATATGAGAGACACAATATATACCCCAATAAAGCGCAAAATGGAAGAGAGATACAAAGGCACTACATTACATTATTTCAAAAGTCATTCAGTATATGGCTAATTTATTTAAATCATTTATACTACTAGTTTTACTTCATTGAAAAGAAAGCATTGTATTATTATGTCTGAAGATAAGGATAATGACAATTGTTATTCTCATTATTTTGTTATGAAATTTTGTTTTATTTTCATAAAGAATGCTCATAATAAAAACATACAAGCATTAACTCATTGTGATACAAAAGTTGTGTTACATAGAACACCATATATAATGAGGTGTGATAAAAATATGGTGTGTTTAAATTTAAAAAATTATCACAGTGAAAGACACATTGCCATGAAGCCCCTCAAAGTCTTCCCCTTCGCTTCCAAAACACTCGTTTCATCCTTCTTGCCACCTTCTGCAGCAGCTCTGGAGTCCTCTTTCATGACTGTCTTTAGTTGCGCTGTTGTGGCTGCCTCAGTGCCCTGAATGGATTCAAAGCGTTTCTCTTCCGTGCTCATTTTGACTCTGGGGCGGAGTGAGAAATCACTGTGACAGATCAGTGAATAGGGTGGATGAGGACACAGTGTCATGCTTTTACCTGGCAGCAGCATTCACCAGTTCTTTTTTATCATCCTTTATAGACACTCATGAAAGAGGACTTCCAGGAAGTGGCAAGAAGGATGGGACGAGTGTGTTCAAAGTGATGAGGGGCATTTGAGGGGGTTCAAGGCAATGTACTTTTTACTATAATCATCTTTTTTTTCTTTTTTGAAAGGGATTGAACTCAGGACCTTGCACTTTCCAGGCAGGTGTGGTGCCACTGAGCTAAATCCCAGCCGTGTAATCATCTTTTTAATTTAAACATTCACTGTAGCTGTTGATCAGCCCTCTCAGTGTGTGGAAATCACTGCTGTACTTCTCTCTGTACTTCTGTCCGGATTTAAAGCCTGAAGAGGGGACCTTCTGCTCTGGAGTGCTGGCATTTGAAGCGAACTCCGAAGACTATAAGCAGCTGAACTGGGGAACAGGCTCCTCTGCAGCAGCGTTCCTGAGGAAGCAACGCAGTAACAACGACCATGAGGGTGCTGGCTCGCATTATTTTCCTGTTTGGGATTTGACTGTGCTCTCCAGTTTGAAGCGGATTCTAAACTCCCTGTGGCAGGTCCGTTTCACTGTGGAGTTTACCTTCCTAGAAAGTGTCATGCATAGCTATCTAATTTAATTAGAAAGCAAAATACTCCCTGATTTCTTTGGGTAATTTAAGAATACCTTTAGCCTTCTTAGTCTTTAAGTCAACACTATAAACAATGAGACTTAACGGATCCCTTGGAAAATGCAGTTAGGGAGATTTTATGGGAAGCCACATGTCTGGGTGACATGAGCCCACAGCTATGTGCCTTGGGCAGATGCTGTCTTCTGACCAGCACTCACACCCAGTGCATTTTATCTCTTTTGGTTACAATACCCAGCATGGCTAATCTAGGAAATATGGCAGGTGCGTGCTTCAAAGTCTGAAACCTTTTGATCACTGATGGGGCATCACAAATCGAAATTCCACTCCTGACCTCCTGTGACGGCTCAACTTCAGAGCCCAGGTGCACTAGCAACCTTGTGTCAGACACCTGCCGGTTCCGGGGTTAGGTGCACATGAAACATGGATTTTGTGTTAAGATTTGGGCCCCACCCCAAGATATTTCATTACATCTGCAAATATTTCAACACGCAGACAATCGGAAATCTGCACTACTGGTTGACAGCATTTTATATAAAGAGACTCACCTTGTGCCCCCAAACCTAAATGAATCTCCGGAGAGCAGTAATTACATCACCCTGGGAACAAGAATTGCATGGGCTCATGTCTAGGGTGCTCACACTTCCATTACAGCTCCTGCTGCCCCAGAGTGGAGATCGCCCCTGGGCACTGTCTTCATGACTCCCTCAGCCGCCAGCCCACCCGCGCATGGTACTCTCAGGACGGGACCACTGAGGCAGGGAGACTGACACCACCTGCCCGGGGTCCTGCCCTAGACAGGCCTGGAAGAGCGTTTCAGGTCTAGACTAGGTGATCTGAGCCCTTGGTCTTGATTTCTACAGGTGGAAAACGTGTACAGGACAAAGGCAGGCTGCAGCACAGGGCAGGATGCCCACAGCCCTGGGCGGGGCAGGGCCAGCAGCACTGTCTGGTGTTGGCCTCACTGCCTGGGGCTCACACAGTGAATTTGACACCTTCTGCGTGGTGCCTGAGCGCCATCCCTAAACGTGAATGCCAGCCAAACCCAGGGCATCAGCACTGCCCGGCACTGAGACAGAGGACCCGAGTGTCAGCCTGGGCCAGCCTCACTATTTCTCTACACAAATCAACCTGACTTTGTTTCCTTTATTTTTCTGTTTAGTTGTTTTCGTTTTCAGTACTGAAGATGGAACCCAGGGTCTTTGCCCTGAGTCACATCCCCAGTCCTTTTTTATTTTTTACCTTGAGACAGTGTCTTGCTAAGTCACTAAACTGCCCAGGCTGGGCTTGAACTTGTGATAAGAAATGCCTCAATGAATACGGAGGACAAACTCTCCTCCCCTACTAGGGAAGGATCTTTGTAAGTATGAACCCCAGAGAGACAGAAGACTAGGACTTCAACCGCCACTCCCAGGCAACTCCCAGTTGTGAAACATGGAGCCCACTAGCTGGGCTCATTTGAGTTTGAGTTTTCCAAGTTCACCTGCACACAGCACATGAATTTTATGTGTAGAATGAAATGAATTCAGGCACTGATATTTAAAGTGGTATTCTAGCTGTATTTTTGTTGGGGGGGTTCAAGTGACTTCGATTCATTCACTTTATTCACCAAGATTCAATGAGTACCTACCATATGCTTAGCTTTATTTTCGGGTGCTGGGTACAGCATCATCAAAGCCAACCACACAAACAAAGATGGTGCTAAGGGAGTTGGGGCTGTCTGTACATCCAGCAGGGAAAGTGTCAATTGGGAGAGCTTGAGGAGACAGCTCATGGAAGTGACGGGAGTTCAGAACACTTGGTTCCTGGGTCTGGGAGAGGTTTCTAGGACTGTAAGCAACAGATCACCCCCTAAATGGCCCTGACAAAAGGACGGCTATGACGCCGTGGTGATGAATTGCAGGTAGATGACACTGTGCTTAGTCTGTTCTTTGATGTGGTGGAGTAAAGCACATAAATATGGATATGAATAAATTGCTTCAACAGGAAAGCTACACGGGCTTTAATAAATCTAAACCTCAAAAATATAGAATTACCAAGCAGAGAAGCCAGGGTTCTTTTGAAGATGTCTCTAAACTTCTGAGCAGTGTCATTTAATCTGCTCAGGGAACAGTTTGTATACAAAAGGAAACCACCCACGGTCACCTATCCATCTTCCAGGGACAGAGGTTCAGGGGGCTGGCACACTGGGAACTCTCTGGAACTACTGCTCCAGCGTAGCAGTGATAATCAATCAAATCACCTCGTACGTTGACATATTTCTGAAGGGAATTATGAATTTTCCATTGGCGGGGCATGGTGGCGCAGGCCTGTAACCCCAGCGCTCTGGGAGGCTGAGGCTGGAGGACCACACGTTCAAGTCCAGCCTGGGCATCTTAGCAACGTAGTGAGAGTCTGTCTCAAAATAAAAAAAATTTGAAAAAAATGCTGTGAGGTAGTTCAGGCAAAGTCCCTGACTGCATAACAATTTACATAATGGCCAAATCATTCAACACGAAACGAACGGCTCTTACATACATTTCCTGCGCCTTCCACAGAAATGCTGCTTTTGTGGGGGCCGGAGGTTGAAGCTGCTGCCACCGGGCTGGCTGGGCTCCTGCCTCCTGGAGAGCATCAGGACCTCGCTGGCCTGCGGAGCCCGGGCTTCGGTGGATCTCTTGTACAGCAGGTGGGAGGGCGCGCTGCCCTGGGCAGAGCTGTTCAGCTTCCCTGCCAGGTGTGGCGGAAGCGGCTTTAGGAAGTAGTCGGCTTCCTCCGTCCTTATGATGCCTGACTGGAGAAACAGAGGAAGAGAGAACAGTTACGCTTTCACGGGCGGCCGTGGCCAGTTCCCCACACATGACATTTTGTGGCTCTGTATTTCTTAACAAACACGGTGCTCCCTCCGAGGCCGGCATTTGTTGGAAACGATCAAAACCCTGTGTCCAGACCAGGCGGAGGAGTCGCTGAGCTCAGACAGCCTGAGGGGCTCCTTCAGCCCCATCCTTCCAGGGAGATGGACAGGAAGACATAAAGTTCCTGACTCCAAACGGAGAGGGGACCGCAGCACACTGGGGGCAGCAACTTCCACTCGAAGGCACCAGACTTAGTGTTAACATCAAGGGGAGGGAGGTCCACAGAGAGAGATCAACAGAGTCCCAAGACAGCACTTTGCAAAGCTCTGTTCGGGTGAATTTTAAAAACATGAATCACATGTGACACGTTCTAAAAAACTGCAGCTTAACAAATTAATCCAGAAGAAAGCAGAAGGGAATTTAGGAGTCATGAAGGTCTTCCTAAGCAAGATATTAAAGGAAACAGAAAAGAGATGACTTTATAAAGATTCTTGACCGTAACAGACTAAGTAACAAAGAGACACAATCGAGAGACTACACTTTGTTTTTCCTTTCAGACAGACAAATATTTTCTAGCTTGGCCACAGTGAGAAGAAAGACAAACAGGTGAATGTGGAAACTGAATGCCAGCCCAGAAGGCCAGCACTTAACAACCCAAAACGTCCATCAACACTTGAAATGCATAATTCAAGTTGAGGGTTTGAGTTTTATTATAAGCGCTTCTTCTATATTGGAAAATATCATACACTGAAAAAGATCATTCACCATGATCAGTGAGATTCATCCCATAGATACAAGGATGGCTCAATATACACAAATCAATAAATGTGGTATATAGATAGCATCCACAGAATGAAGAGAAAAACCTGTACAATCATCTCAGCAGATGTAGAAAAGCCATTTAATAAAACTTAACATCCTCTCATAATAAAAACACTAAAATAGGGTATATGAGGAATGTACCTCTAGTAATAAAAGTCATATACAACAAGCTCCCAGGTAGCATCATACTGAAGGGGGGAGCACTAGAAGCTTTCTCAGGACCTGCAACAACACAAGGATGCACATTTTCACCACTTTTCTTAAGGCTGTAGGAGTCCTAAACCAAGCTGTCAGGTGACACTAATGGATGTGCAACTTACAAAGGAAAAAGTCAGATTATCACTGTGTGCAAACGACATGATTGTATATATAGAAAACCCCAGGGACTCAAAATATTGGAAGTGATTAATGAGTTAAGTAAAGTTTCAGGATGTAAAATTAACACACAAAAATCAGTAGCACTGCTACATGCTCATCCCAACTTATCTGAAATAGAAATCAAGAGGGTAATCCCATTTACAATATCTATAAAATCTTACAAAATATCTATATCTGTAATAGAATTATAAAATGCTGATAAGAGAAATTGAAGAGGACATCACAAGACTGGAAGACATCCATGTTCATGGGCTGGAAGAATCAATATGTTAAGACCCAGCATAATCCCTAACAAAATACCGATGACATCCTTCACAGATCAGAAAAGATCTCCAAATTCTTACTGACCCCCCCAAAAACCTGAAAAACTAAAGCAGAGGCATTATACTGACTTCAAGTATTTGAGGAGCTAGATACATTTAACTCATTTTTTTTTGTATTAAATTCTTTTATCGGTACATTGTAGGTATACAACACACTTACATTTCTCATTGGGAATTGTACCTTTACATAATGCATCTTGGTTCTTATTTTTTCCCCATTCCTAGCCC